AAAGGAGAAAAGTTACGTTCTAACGACAGAGAAAACTGCTAAGTCTTTGAGACTGTAATTGTATACAGTATACTGAAGTAAAGGATAGTAACATAGTATGAGCTACGACTACAAATGAATCATATCTAGAGGCAGAATAGCTAGAAACTAGAGAAGCAAACCACTTCTACTTTATATATAAAACTATCTGGTCTATCTACTGTGACACAGAGACAAACTCACCTTCTGTTGTTGATGAAAAAAATATAAAAAGATTTTTTAAAATATGTTCAACACTTTTTGTTTGTTTGCTTGTTTGTTTGTTTTATGTATCATTTGAAAATAAAAATATGATTGTTCGTTGAATTTTTTTTTCAATATCTATAAATAATGAGTGGATTCAAAATACGCGAAAAATATACTGATGCACTGCTATGAAACCATTTAAACAACATAGAAAGCATTGAATGGCATTAACCTGTTAACCTATAAGTCAGTCTTTGCAAGTTCAGACCAAAAAAAAATCAAATGCATGCTGGCAAAGAGCTGACCATTTACCATCCCTTAATAGAAGGCAGGCATAGAAATTCAATATTTTTCCAAAGTCCGATAAAAATCCTTTTCAACTCCAAAATACATGCCACTATTTTGTTTATAATTCAAGAATTTAAATTCTTCCACGGAATGAATTCTCCCGGAAATTAACAATTGTATGGTTGAAAATAAAATCCGTAAAAATGTAATTCACTAAAAACTCCCAAGAATAGGAATTCAACAAACAAATCCATGATTAAATGTAAACAAAATATCACACTCCAAGCAGTACTTACGTCGTCAGACATGTTTAATCTGAAATTAAAGGAAATTTTCATTAGTATTATTACTATAAAAATAATTTTTTCTTACATTACCTATACATATCAAAGTATATTGCAGGGCGTTGGTAAATTCTTTATAAAAAATTCCTAACTGTCAATATTTGAATCCGCTATCACACTAGATGTTCAATATATCGAAAAATCAAAGATGTCCATGAGAAAATCGAAGAAGTTTGACTTACACTAAAGATGAATTAGTCCCTAAGAATCACAGACAATGGAGGCAGCTAGAGGCTTAGCAATGGAATGGTGGCGAGGATAGAAGCAGCGTTCCTTATGAATGCCTACTGTTTATCCAACACCATGCAATGCCTAACCCTCCTGCTGCTCCAAGATCATCTGCCTCACGTATCAAATGTCGGCGGGCGGCGCGTGCTGTTTGCCAGATGTGCGATTATAAATTACTTCGTGTTCAAAGCTTCTATACATTGTACATATGTGAATGTAAGTGTGGCTTCATATCTTAAGTTTACAAACATAGTGAATTACCGGTATTCTTTAATTCTTCATGATTTGTTCCAAACAAAAAGTTTTGACATTTTTGGTACTACTAAAATGATTTTAATCATGTTTATTGTCATTGCTGCTTTGTTGTAAAGCATGTATATTCGGAAAGCAAATGAAATTGGTCAAAAATGTTATTTAAATTTCATTTGTTTTTAATTATTTGATCAAAGTTCCACTCCCAGCGCAATCTTTTCAAAACAATGAAGTTCAGGAAAGCTGGAAACAACAATATCGCAATATGGCTATAACCCAAAATAAGAAATCAAATGGATCATTGATAGTTTAAAATATATTATTCACAAACCATTTAAGCAAGTTTTTGAAATACTATTTTACAGTGCATTAGTACTGTTTCGCGTAGTGACTTGTGAGTTCGTCTATATTTAGTACACCCAGGGTAAACCATTACGCCCACACATCTTCTACATTACGCTCCCGATAAAGTCATCTTTTGCAAAACCCTGCTATACACATTTACAAGATCTTTATATAATTGCTATCATACATCACAGGGAGGATTGGTTTTATTGCCTGCATAGACAGATTTATTTTGACCTTCTATTTCTCGCAATCGACCTTTGCGTCAAATTCTGTATTTGAGAATTTTTATCAAATATACATTACATGCACGAAATGTATTTCAATATCTTTTTTATATATTAAAGCCAAATGTTTGTATGAAAAATGCTTTTCTTGGCCAGGTCTTTGGTCATAAAAACGGGAAACTGAACTATGAAAGAGGTTGTTCGGTGTACATTATGTGTGTAATGTTTTAGGGATTCTTTTTAAAAAGTAACCAGCGAGGAAGCTGAAGATACACAGATGCCGTCTGTAGATAAATCCTTGTACTTAACTAGAGGTGTATACAATGCATTGCTCTTATCTTTCCTCCGAATATCTTGCTGTGGAGGAATTTCATATTCATATGAAGGTCAAAGGTCAATGTGCAGAGACCCTGACAAATATGTAGTCATGTTTCTGCATATGTAATGAGACTAGATAATTGAGTATCTATTAATACTTGTATGAATACCACAATGTATATATCTTCGAACTTACTACAACTTATGAGACTACCAGAGTATATGTACTTAGTTAATTCAAAATATTAATAAGTGCTTATTTCACAAGTTTGCAGTCAGTCAAAATTAATAGACACAAACTATCCTTGTGACTATTTCATCGTACCTGTACTTTACTCAGATTAGTGTACGTTTGCAATAAGCATATTGGTACTATATTAAGTTATGAACATATGTTAGTTGAACCGTTTCATGCATGAGTATCAAGTTTCTTCTTTAAGATACAAGCATATCATATTTCTGATTGGTTCCAATTAAGCCTTTCGCCTGATTTCATTAAACCGGAGAGATCAGTAAAATGTACTCACCTTTTTAACTAGTAAAACCTCTCGAATTATCTCAACAAACACTTGACGGATCGACCTGAACACACCCTGCTCCTTACCGGGCTGATGGGAAGACACTACGAAAGTGAAACCTTCTCAACTCCACTCTTATCACGCATACCTTCCCCTCGTGACGTCACGCTGCTTGTTCCAAAGATGGGCCGATTCGTGAGGTATCGGTTGACCGAGAACAGCTTCCGTATCTCCATCGCAACGCACCTAGCAACCGCCGTTACGATGGAAATATCATATGCTGATTCTACACTTGTGCATGATTATAGAGCAGTATGCCAGGACAACGTTTTATGTTGTTTGTGAATGAATGAATTTGTTTTTCTTTGTGTTTATTTGTAATACAACGTCTAGACGTTGTTTGCAATAAATACTTTACGATTACTTTACGAATAAAATCTCAATAATAATAAAACATTTGTCAAAATGGATATTAATTAATTCCTTTTCTTAATATATATGTTTTTATTATTTTGGAGAGGATGGGGAGGGTTCCAAACTTAAAAAATTATAAAATATATGTATAAACGATCAGACAAGACTTAAATAATGTATTAAATAAATATTGCAAAATTATCTTCTATTTAATGATTAATAACAAATTAAGAAAATAAATACGTAACTGTTATTTTAATTATTTGGGGGTTATGTTTCGTTTCTATGGCAATTTCGGACTTTCTTTTTTATCTTATTTATTTATTTTATCTTGATTTACTTTATTTATTTACTTTTGGTAAGTCAGGCTGTTGTTTTTTTTTAAAAGAATCATACGTGTTGTGCATTATATATTAAATAAGAATTGCTAATGATAATTACAAATTGCTGTGTCAGAGATAGAAGAATCTGAAATACATGTGGTTTACGATCCCCCGCAAGGCGCACAAGTTCGCGGAATCGGCGCGTGCAGATTTGTGACATTATCCATATACAGCTACGTGCATTACGCGTGCCTGATAATTAGGACCACTAGAAAGAAATAATGAATTAAAGATGAGGAACTGTCAGATTACAGATTGCTACATTTTCCACAATCATCGTCGATTGTGACCCAGAAGTCGCGCGCCAGGAACATCGGCAGGGGGTGGTTGCAGTTCCGTGTTAATTCAACATGAAAGTTGACCTCTGTGGTCTACGCTTGGAGCAGAGATCGGGGCGACATACACGCATTTATAATTGTTACAAGACAACTCGTCTCGAGGTCGTGAAAACTTTCTTAGAATTATATACTTCCAATGTCTCAAAAGATCAAGCACATAAAATCTGATGTGATTTAATAAACATTGTTTTCCTCTTAAGTTGTTAAATTTTATTTTTTTTAATTTCTGTTTATAATGATCGTTTTGACGACTGAGAATTGACTTAAGGCTAACACAGCTTCTTGGTTCTAAGGTCTAGGTTACCCCTCCTCTGTTGGGCCCAAAAGGTTGATAATCTTGACACAGTGCGCAATCCTTTAAATGCTATTGCATGTATCTTTAGTCAGTTCTGTTAATTCAAGTTCAACACCATTCAAAATACTAGTACATGTATCATTATTGTTTGCGGAGAGCATAAACTTCAAGGATAAATAGGAAAAGAATATAAACCATTTCATCAGTTAATAATTTTTTTTAAAAAATCTTTGATTTGAAAATTTTGTGAACACTGATTTAAAACTACAGATATTTTCAAAGAAATTGACCTAAATCTTGCTTAATACATATGTAGAATGAAACAAGAATAGGATTATGCCCCTTGACTCAAGAGACGATACAAGAGGTACCTGGATTTGTCTTCATAATTGTTTTACCCCATAGCTTAATAATAATGTTTTAATAACAAAATGGGTTTAAAAACATTTTTATAAAACCAGTGTCTGTGGCCAGCAGACAAAAACAGAGTAGGAAAAAAATGTTTGCTAGTTGCAGACAGAAGACCAGGTGTAAGGGCAGTGACACATATGACTGGGTATAAAACAAGAGGCTCATGGGCCATAACTGATCAATGGAGGGAGAGGGGGCTTAATGTTTTTTTCCAGACTGCATATATTTATTAATCAATTATAACTCATTCATAGCAAATATGTTTTTTACTTAAATTCCTGGCATCAGATATAGGATAAACTATCATATGGGAGGGGGGGGGGGGGTATTTCAATTACAAGTTTGTTTCCAACTATAAAATGTGGGAGAAGTGCAGGGCAGAATTAATTTACATTTAAACTAATTTAATACCTATTATTCCATCACAAAAAATTTTATTTGTTAATATCACATTTTATTTCAAGAGTATGTCAAGTATAAAATAGATCAGACTTTACTTTCACCAGTTTCAACATGATCACTTTCACTACTTTCTGGTCCATTCTGAACCTCTAACTGTTTCATCCTCTCTGCTAATTGTAGAACCCTTTCTGTAGCAGTCATTTGTTTCACAGTAACTCTGCCATAGTTTGGATCTGGAAATGTCATTAAATTCACAGCTGGATCTTTGAATAGAAATGGATGCCACACCCCCTGAATGCTGGGGTTGTGAGTCTGGAACGGTTTGGTTTTCTTGACTATATCCACCCCTGAGCGAGTTCTGGCTAGCTCCACCCACTTACAGATTTCATCCATGTTCATCCCCCTCATATCAGTCTTATGAGAATTCCCATTTACTGAAAAACATTAGCAATAATTCATTTAATTTTCATATTAAAAAATTATTTAAGTAGTTATGTTTGTAAAACACTGATGCCTGTGTATGGCAGCTCATGGCAAAAGTTAAAGTTTCTCAAATCAAGTCAAACTCCAATTTCAAATGATCAAAAATACTGGTATCCAAAGACAGGTCTTAAACTGTCACAAGGATAACTGTGAAAATGAAATTCATTAACAGCAGCCATTTGGAAATTATGGTAAAGGTTAAAGTTTCTTAAATTTTTGCAGACAAGGAGACTAACAGACAAACTGACCAAAGATGGTCAAACAAAGAAAAAATTATATGCCCCAAAATCTTTAAAGGGGACAAAAAAGCCATTATGGTTAACATAGAAAATCAGTATCATTTAGAAACTTACAGTAATCTGCCCTAATGTTAGCACCTCGATGGCGGGTTGGTTTTACATACACCACTATGTTCGGATATTTCCTGGCAAAGTCCACAAGATAATTCTCTACAAAATCTCTGAAAACAAAATTGCAGAGATTTAGATTTATACTTCATAATATACTTACAAGAAGAAAAAAATATGTGACATATCAAACTTAATTCCAAACAAAGCTCACAAACTCTAGAATAGATATAAAACATACTTTCATACAATTTTTTTGTTTTATGGCCTGAATAGAATTCAACAGAATTCATTGACTGAGTTTTCTGGTCTCAGGGAATTGAATATCAGATCACCAAAGCCCCCAACCCCCCACCCACCCAAATGTATGGACCTGAACCTCTTTAATGATTAATTTTTTATCTAGCCTTACAGTTCTTGGGGATCAACTCAGAATCTTAATGACTAAAAACCAAGTCACTTCACATTGGCGGATCCAGAGAGGGAATCCAGGGGTTGAAACCCCCTTTATTTTTGCAGAGAGAGAGAAAAGGAGTTTTTTCTGTAACATTTTTAGATCTAATACTATTTTTTAGAAAAAATAACTAGTTCAATGTGCCATTTAGCAAATATACGAGGGCCGTTCAAAAATTACGCGGACTGTGTTATTATTTACTCTTACAGACATCATAGAGTTATGACATTTCACAGAAATATGTATCTTAAAGATTCCAATAAATTTCTGTATTTTAAAAAAATTCTACTAAAATTATCGGTATGTTGATATCGTTGATGGAGAGGTACGGCGCACGACAAAAACAATTGAAGCAAAAGCATGTGGATTCAAAAATTTAACTCATTGATTTTCTAAATTTCGCGATATTTTTCAACAATTTTCTCAAATGTACCTTTATATTGTTCTATTATTATGTATTTAGATTTCCGACGTAATATTTGAAGTAGATACAGAAATATAGCAATTTTTCTCTGATGCGATTCCCGTGAAAACGACTGTGAAAATGACGTCTCCTGAATTGACGGCGCACCACACTTTTGTTAAAATATGTGTAATGCTCGCGATATCGGCAACATAGATCCAAAATATGCATAATAAAACATGTAGTAAACTAAGCTACTCGTGACATTCGCCCACAAATAGCAAATTGAAATTTTAGACAGTTAGACCTCTGTAAAAAGGCTATACGGGAGGACGGGAAGAAGATTATAGACGAAAAGTTAACTTTATCCGGACTGTAAAGAACGTGATTGAGAGTCACCAATATCACACTATATCTCATAAGTAGTTTTTGGTTTTAAAACAAAAAAAGAAAGAATATTCTTTACTTGTTTCATAGATTTTAAGCTTGACAAGAAATGGTGTTTTGATGTTGAGTAGATAAGGTAACTCAAACTATACAGGTACTTAAGGGAAAATGTTGAGAAAATGAAAGCTCAATCACATATTTTTTATAATGCTTGTGACGTCGAAGATTTTGCTGCGCCGTGACTTAAAGGTATGTCCTGAAAAATCACTCAAAATTGATACCAATTTACAACATTTTGATATGAAATTTTGAAGACCATATAAGTAAAGATTCTTTTATATTATTTGTGAAATTTTGCCCGATTATGTCATCAAATATTTCTTCTGTGCAACAAGTCCACATAATGCTCCGACTACCAACAAGTCACATGCAAAGGTTTCACTTAAATATCATTGGAAGTTTATGGCAAACTTTTGATCCTTCTTCTGAGGAAACTAATTTTAAGAAATGTGCATAAAGAGCCATGAAAGGGAGTATACATGACAATATTTCTCTTCTTATATTACAGGGATATTTTAATTAATGAATTGTTCCATTCCAATTAAGAATGTGCAGGGATGGAAACTCACTTTCTCTGAGAATAACCTTTCCCTGTAGATTGAATATCATTATGTAAGTTATGATTTGGATGCTCCCAAACATTTTTCACTGCTGGAGTATCAAAATATGCTAATTCAAATATATGAAAAGAAAAGAAAGAACAGTAAGACACCCTAACCCCACCCCACCCTGAAATGGGATTTTAGAATGTGGTGTACAGTTTCTTTTTTTTCTGGGGGGGGGGGATAAATAATTAATATACACCTTTTTCAATAGGTGGCACTGTAAATCTCCGGTCTGTCAAATTATTTTCGGAGAGGTACAGTTCTGCAGCTAGAGAGAAGGGGGTTGCAATATTTATCAATGAATTAACCAGTTTGGAATACTGAAAAATGGATTGGTCTTTATACTAATTTCAGTTAATTCGCTGCAGAATTCGAAAAAAAAAACAACTTACTGCAGGATGCCAGGATGCATTAAACACATGTATAATTCTTCTAATTGAACTGTTGCTGTTATGGTTATAGACATGAAACAGAGAAAATTCAAGTTAATCACATGTTTATGTACTGAAATTACCTCATGCCTCTACTGTCAGACCTGTGCTTACAGAATCTGAAGGTTATTCTCATAAGCTGACAAACATATCTACCAACTCCATTCTGTCCAACATTAATTAGTCTTGACGGTGGTAGAGAGTTGTATGACATTTTTCGTCCGAATTCTCATCCGGATTTTATATATCCCAACATGTGCAGTTCAAAATTTACAAAATTTTCATTATTATTACTATGCAGTAAATATTGAACGAAATATACATGAAAAATAAAGAATCACGAACTCAAATTCTTAATTTCAAACTCTATTTGTCGACATGAGACAATTTACGTCAAAAGGTTAAATAGATGACATGTTTAATAGGGAATTATATTGCGGAATGTTTTTTTTATCTTTAGAGGTTGCAGGGCATTTCCGGTTTATATTTTACACGTTTAACAAGTGATAGAAGAATGATTTCTTGCATGATAATTAAAATGCTTGACGATGTCAACTTGCAAAGATGAAGACGATTATAGTTTAGAAACTGGCGATCTTGGTCTTGGATTCGGATTAAAACCAGGATCTCTTCCAATCTTAGACGCATTGTTTACAAATAAAAGTGATAGTGGAAAGCACCAAAAGGGGACTATAGATTTATCAGCTATAGCAGCTAAACCGTTGGTACTAACAAACCAGAGTCAATATACAAAAGTTGAAAAGTTGCGTGGTAAAAGCAGATTTTCAAAAGTCAGCATTGGGGATAAAAGAAGTACCTGTCCAAATAGCAAACAAAACAAAATGAATTTTGGAAAGAATGAAGATGGTACAACAGAAGTTACAGGTCTTGATTGTTGCTGTTCACTTTAATATTCAAATCTATTTATCTTTATCAATTAGTTTTTTTTATTTTGGTGACATTTGATCACTCAGCATATAGGGATTCACATTTGAAAAAAAAATTAATATGTTTTGATGTGATTGTTTGTGAGAAGTGTGCAGTTTACACATTAATTTTGATTCCCTCTTTAAATTTAAAAATAGCTTTAGGCACTCCCCATATAATTTTGTAGATGATGGAATGATAGTCTACATAGGTCTACCTCTCTATACTATAAATGATTTTATAGTATAGAGGGGTAGACCTATGTAGACTATCATTACGTCATCTACAAAATTATATGGCGAGTGCCTATTTAAAAACATGAGACAAATTTTGACTATGCTTTCACATGATACATTTTACAAATAGTTCATATGATAATTTTGTCTGTAGCTCAAATAAATATGTATTTTGGCTCACAAAATTATACATTTCATTTTAGAAACTCCCACAGTAAACAGAGATGACTTTTTAAAAAAGTTACTGGAAGCTGAGCAGGTACAGTGTGATTTATTCAGTTTTTGGAAATAATAAATCTAAAGCTGACAATTTATGAAATGGCAAAGTGTCTGCATGTTGCTCATCTGTCTGTTTGTCTAATTAATATTTCAAAATGCTACTCTTGCTTCACTTTTGGTCCAGTTTCTATGAAACTTTGCATCTACATGTACACTGTACATATTAGAAGACTGCAACAGGATACATAAATGTAATTCTGTTTGTCATATTTTTTTATTTCAATGAATACATGTACAATTAATTACCATGGAATGCTTATAATTCAGATTTTCTTTGGAATTTTATCAAAAGTCTACTCCACTTACAGTTTTAACATGTGAATTTCTATAACTTCAATTAAACTAAGTATGTTTCATGTCTTGGTGCAATTTGCTGCTTTTTACATTATAAGCAAAACAGTTGAATTTAAACTTTAATAGGCCTCTAGTTTTTGAAACAAAATCACAGCCTAAAACCCTTTTTAATGTAAGGCTATGAAAGCTATATGGAGAAAGAATTTAAGAGCAGGTGGAGATTAGTTTACTTTTGACATATGCACATACATTAACACCATCTATCTTTTGGAGAAGACTTATATAGGCCATGCCTTATGTCCAATCCAATTATGTAATCTTGCTTACATAATTAAATATTGATTAAATTAATACCATCTATCTTCTGTATTTCTCAGGAAGTTGAAGAGCTGAAAACAGAACTAGAAGTTTATGAAAAGAGACTGGAATCCAAATACAAAGCTATTGCAATCTTGAGGAAACAGGTTCTACTTCACTTTACTCAGTGTTATAATTGATTTTTTTTGTGTTGGTGAAGTATCCGTAGGTAATTTCATCAGATCTGTCATTTATTCTTGTGAGATATACATATACATGTGTTTGTATCTAACAGAAAACTTGATATTGTATCAAATGAAAAAATTCTTGGAGTTTATTTAGATAATTCTTTACAATACAATGTACACATTGACCATGTTTGTAAAACACTGTCACGTAAAATTTCTGCCCTCCGTAGAATTAAAAAGTTTCTTCCTATTCAAACACGCAAGCTGTTTTACAATGCATATATTATGCCTTCAATTGATTATTGTTTAACTGTTTGGGGTAATACATCTCACTCAAATCTTGACAGAGTATATAAGCTTCAAAAACGTGCTGCAAGATGTATTTTAGATGCTCCTCCTGATGCGCCCTCACAACCTCTCTTTGAGAAACTAGATTGGCTCACAGTGTATGAGCAACTTATTGTAGATAAATATGTTTTGTTATATAAATCATTGTTCAACTCTCACCCTACTTATCTAAATAGTATGTTTGACTTCCAGTGTAATAATCGATACAATCTTCGATCTGAATCTAATTTAGACCTCTGTGTACCATCTCATAAATGTAAACTCTTTGAGAACTCCTTTCAATACTCTGGTGCTATCTTATGGAATAATTTACCTGTACATATAAGAATGTCTCAAACACTCAATGCTTTCAAGCATCAAGTCAAAAAATTTGTAAAACAATGTAGAAATAGCTTATGATTATTTATTGATTTTGTATATTTATATTTATATGTATGTATGTATGTATTTTGATATTTTGTCTATAGAAGGCCCCGGGGAAGAATAGTGCGTGCACTAATCGGGTTACCTTCTTTAAATAAAGAATTATTATTATTATTATTATTATTATGTCTGTTATTCCCCTTTATTAGATTTATTCAAGTGAAGAGAGTATCGATGCTTGTGAAAAGAAAAGCAGGCAGTATGAAGAGTCCTTAGAAAGAGTGAGTTGCATTTCACCATATGACAGATGATGATGAACAGTAAAACCAGTATCAAGTATGAAGACAGCAGGCCTTAGTCAATGAAATTCCAAATATTGTCATGTATTCTTTGATATTTGACACATCAGTGTTTGAGATACTTAAGAACAGCTGTGATTAATCAGATGTTGTGCATTGACATGTATTTCTTTTTAATAAAACCACTAATGCATGCCGATGCTAAAATGAAAAAGAATCAAAATCTCATATATCAATGTATTTTAGGAGGTGAATACACTAAATTTCGAGTTGGGAAAAAGGGAGACAACTTTTGAAAATAGTCAGCAGATGTGGGCAGTTAGATTTGACAGGTTGGTAATAAAATTAATGTGTGGTTTCATTGTTTAATGTGACCTGATAAAGTGACTATTTTTGTCCTTGTTTATGATTTTTTTCTTTCTTTATTTTTAAGTATTTGTAAAGAGAATGTCTCCCTCACAGCTGAACTTGATCACAAATCTCTGGAACTGAGGGAATTAAAGGCTCAGAAAATGGGTAAGAAATTTTATTTCACAAAGATATACAGTGTTTTTTACTCTATCACAGAGATGCTGGCAAACAATTTCTCCACATTTTAATAAGGCTAGATTCAACTTACAGACAAAAGAGACAATTAGTCACTATTCAATTTGTCCCACGTTCCGTTAAACCAATGACAGAAAATGTAAAGAAATGAAAATAAAACATAGATGAAATTTTCCTTATATGCTGTATATACACTCCTCTGATATTTAAAAAACTTCATTTTGAAGCCCTGAGTAGAGAGCGTGATGAGTTGTTGGCCTTGCTAGATGTGAAGGAGAGAGGGCGCTACATGAGGTCACGGAGTGTGTCAGATGATGAGGCTTACAGCGAGTACAGCTCTACAGAGGTACGGAAATGATCTCTTGTGTAAAATAACTGATAGATGTAATTCATTACTTTTATCGCAATGAATATTTACAAAATTTGGAGTTTGTAAATCTCTGTATAACAACCAAGGAGCTGGATGGTTTTATCTTATCTAAGAAAATTATTTTGAATACTATCTGTACATTTCAAGATGAATGATTTTCTTCAGCTGGCAGTTCTGGGAGCCTGTAAATGTAGAGTTACCTCTCCTGAGCCCTGCGGTTGTGCACACGCTGCTGCAGCTCTGAGAAGGGAACTGTGTAAACTAAAGGAACAGGTACACGTTGAAAACATCATTTATACCATCACTTTCATATTTTTTTTCTTTTTGAATTTATGTAAAAAATTGAATAAATACAAGAAGAATTCAAAAGTGAATTCTTTTTCTACTTGCAGTATGAAGCTCAATTAAAGAGAAGAGATGAAGCTGCTCAGACAGTGGATGCATATAGGTCAGCATTCGAGGAACAGCTCTATAAAAACAAACAGCTTACGTTACAGTTGGCTGAACTAGCAATCACTGGACCATCAAAATATGAAAAGGCAAAGGTCATCCTCAAAAACCTTATCCATCTTTTGAATGATGGTAAGTTATTTCGTTTTATTCCTGTGATTGGAGTACTGTAGGTTGATATTGCTTAACCAACTATTTACATCTAGGTACTGAAATTATTCTATATCAGAATTACCAGTATTTATAACATACATTTGGGAATTTTTTTGAATTGAAAGGCAGCCTGTTTTAAACATTATATGAATACATAATAAGGCAAAAAAAAATTAATTTCTTGGTTCTCAGGCCCTCCCTCATCTCTTCCAAGGGTGCCTCATTGACCCTTTTTATTGCTAAATCAATAAAATATAAACACTATATTTTTTGAGGTTTTGTACAATGTAAACAGCTATCATGTTTTGGGGGCATTAAATGTGATGTGGCCTAATGTGATGTATGTACATGTAGCTGTAAAAATTGTTTTTATCATCAGATGACTACCTTTGTGAAATAACCAATCAGAGACAGAATGTCTACAGTATTAACGGAAATTCAAAACCACGGAAGCTCGAGGTGGACAGCCAGTCAGAGCCTGTTATGTCTGATAAAGACTTGGTCATGGCACTAACAGAGATTGTAAGTTATACTCAGCTGTGTTTTACAGCACATTTTAAGGCTGAGCCACAAAATCTGTTGGTTGATTCGAAAACCTTGATAATTCAGTCAATGTGAATTGTAATTTACATGTACACATTAAACAAAATCACACTTAATTAATCAATGTGAACAGAAAATTAAATTGTTAAGAAAATGTATAACTTTCTTTTGTAAAATGTAAGCCAATGCCAACTACCAAGTTTCTTGTAGTTATCAACATGTTCATTTTTATTTTTTTAAAAAAAAGGATAAAAGTTTTAAAATGAAAATTTCCCATAACAAATAAGAATAGCGTGGATCCATGATAAAAATCAAGTAATCTCTATATCTTCTACTAATTATTTTTTAGTTACACCAAAGAAATGAAGCCTTCGCCCACAAGAAACTCGCTGCTCAGGTGCTGAGTGATCGAGTAAAGGAACTGGAGACTCAGCTCAGCAATTATCAAAGGGAAGAGCATGAGGAAACATTCTCCTGATAGTTAAAATACCGAGACACAGAACTTGACAGGGGTACGTTCAAGTTCAGAATGAAGGTCAACAAACTAGATGTATTAGAGGGGGAGGGGGTCAAACATTAAGTCAAAAGACATGTATCTATGTTTTTTATGCTATAATGATTATTTTTAAGGAGCATGATAAGTGGTATTAAATTATCTATTTCTAGCCGGGCTTATTGCTCAAAGAGCAATTGCCGGCTTATGTGATCCTGTTCAAGGCAGGATGTTAACCCAATAGTCGCCATTTTAAAGTTACGTGCAAAAATATAGTTCTTACTCTCAACCGCTTTTGAGATAATACAAACGCTAAATAAAGCAACAAAAATAAAACAAAGTTTTATCTATATAAAATAAACATTAGTAGTAATGACTTTGAAAACTTCATAAGGCAAAGAACATAGTTCATTAGCGTAAGGATTTTTGATAATCAGTGTTACCGTAGTTCTCTACACATACGAGGTAAAGCAGGAGAGGGAACCAGACTGGCCTGTTTGTTTACATTCAGCTGGGGTACCAGATTAATTCTGATTCTGACAAAATCGGACCGTGGTATTAGGATTGAAAAACTCACTGTCAGTGTCTTATCATTTATATTGATAGTTTTAAAAAAAAAAATTTCATCAGAATATAAACGTGATTCATGTAAGAAATCCATTCTACTCTGTAAATGAGCCCGGCTCTCTGTACGTCTGAGTACTTTGATTTCTGCATTGAAACAAGATCATTAGATGCCAGTCTAACATTCCAAAAGTCCCGGTTAGTTGATATTCATAAAAAAAAACACCATTCTAATTAAGATCTCAGTTTCTCACTTTTACAGATACTTGGAATAAAAACTATTTCCACCATTAATCCATTGGAAACAATGAGTTCAGGCATGTAGCTCACATCACTTGTTAAATGCAAATGCACATAATATATGAACATGACTGTGAGCTTATGAAATAGTGCAATTTATTTTTCATTTGAATTGTAAAGAAAACACTTAAAAATTACATTTTAGATCTTGGATCATTAAAAGAAAAGGTGGGATAGATAGGACATCTTTAAAAATTTGTTTGGTTGCACTCTTCCCACTGACAGGACAAAATCTGCCCAAATCAAAAACATTTTTAACCTCTAAGATATTATTATTTTTTATGCAATCCAGAAAAAAGTTCAGCATTGATAATGATAATATGTGCATTTCTTTCATAGTTTAAAATTTATATACATGTAATTTGTATAGATTTGTTAAGAAATGGTTTTGTGCTTTGAATTTACAACATATTAAGCATTCTATCTTATAAAGCCATCACCGTTATAATGGGAGTCCACTGTATTTCAATCATTTTCTGATATTTTATAATAAGATAATCTTATGTATATATAAAAAGAAATCCATTTTTTCAATTCTTTTTTCTGTGTAAAACAATATATGTGTGTATGCATTATACAAAAAAAAAATTGTGCTGTCAAATTTTTTGACATTAGGTTTAAGAATTCCAGTAATAATTTTCATTATACCATATGAATTGCAATATAAATGCACATGTATACATTCATGTTTTTTTATGATATGGTGTCTTATTTATATTATATAAATGTCTTCCTTGCTGTGATATCACAGTGCCATTTATTTAAGTTATCAAACATTCCTTGTCTGCATGCCTTGCCAGTGAAATATTTTATTGTAAATGTTACTTCCAATGGCATTCAGTTTCAAAACATTGAGATAGTGGGCTTTATTATTAGCTTTTTATGTTGTCTATTACATTTAAACACTGTTTAGCCATATTATAACAATTTCTCAAAATGTTATTTTTCTTGCAGTTTTTCATGCAATTTATTATACATGTACATGAAGAACACAGTAAAGTGAAAATTACATTAAGGGTATTAAATCATCTGTATTGTTCTGTGTAGTATCATTTTGAGTTGTTAAAATGTTGTTATTATACAATGCTTATTAGATTACATGTACATCAACACTCAAAATTTTGTTTTTTAATATTTTATTTTGATGAACATGTAGAAGATCATAAAATTTTGAACTTGTTACTCTTTATTACAACTCCAGTGTGTATTTACTTTATGTTTTGGTATTAGCATGCATTTTACATACATGTACATAGGTCCATTTAGATTTTAGTCCCTATTACTGATGCCTACTTGTACATTTCATATTGGGAAAATTTGTCACAAATTACTCATTGATAGATGCAGTATTGTAAAATTTGATATTGTTAATTTATTTATGTGCAATAGAATCCTTGTTATCTATTCTCTTTATGAGTGCAACACAGTGAAATCTCAAGTTTTGTAGCCATTGCTTTGAAAAGGGATGATTTTTGAAAATGAAATTATGTTCCACAGGAATTTAAGCCTCGGTGGATAGGGAATTTATTAACAGGGGGTTAGACAGAAGGATTTAGGAATCTCATTAACATGGTATCAGGATGTGGTCTAGTCAGAGAATCTCTACAGCTTAATAGTCTATAGTGCAATATCCTTGTAATTTACTGATGATTTAGTTACATGTGTGTGTTAAAAGATTAACCAGTACATAAAGTAAAACCTCATTATCTCTAACTCATTAGGACAGGGAGAAAAACTTCAAGATATCTGAGGATTAGAGATATCCTGGGTAAAGGGTTGGGACTTTCATATCACTTCCACATATCAGGGGTATTTGAGGTTTCGTAGTTTAAGATACTGAAGTTCAACTGTTCTACTCAAAATAGGATATAAATAGAATTTTGGGATCTTTATAGATTTTGCATTAAAAATTTAACAAAAAGTTGAGGAAAAGCAATTTAACAACAAAATAAAGAAAAATGGCTTTCAAGTAGATTTGGATCTCAAACCAATGGTTATGGTTCATCTGATTTTTTGTGAAGATTTTTTTTTGTTAATGTTAATCTGTAATTTTTTAAGTTACTAAATAAATTATTTAGTATGTACTCAATTGTTATTGTATTTTTCCACATGAATTACCTAGTAAGTGTTTAAGTTCATTTGTGAAAATCTTAACCTGACATTTATGGTAAAAACTTTACTTGATGTTCCTCAGTGTGTTGTTTATCAACAGTGGTCAATTACTAAGTGCTTTATTAAAGGTTGATATGTATTTCATACTAAGAAGGAGATCATTCTTTGCCATTCAAGAATGGCAGAAAATTTCTTTCAGTGATATTTTTTATAGCTCTTTTGAGCAAAAGCTAGCATAAAGAGCTAATGCTATCGCAATGTGTTTTTCAACTTTTTTGGAATATGAGCCATATCTCAAGAACCTTTTGCCATTTTTTTTTTCATTTTTCACAGAGTATTCTTGACCCATAAATTGTTCAAAGTATCACCCTTGGGCAAAGGGCATGGTCTTAAGCTCACTTCAAAGTTGACAAAAGAAAATTACATTTGGTTAAAAAGTTTTGATATTTTGTCTACTAGTAGGACTACGATCATCAAATCTTGACAGAGGATGTATCTTGGAACATCATATCATGTGACTCAAAAGTAGGTCATGGTGACCTACATTTTGAATTTTGCAGTATTCATTTTCAATTTGATTTTGATGCCTAACTTGGACACTTTGAAGCAAATGATCATCAAAACTTGTTATTTTGGTCTCTGTGACCTACTTCATGAATTTTATGGCTAATCATTTTCTTAACATTTAAAATCATTTTGGGGGGATACTAATAGGTTTAGAATTATCAAGCCTTGTAAGTTGATGCACCTTGGGGCCTTAAAACATTTATCAAAAAGAAAGTCACTGTCTTTCACAGATATTCATTGGCAAAATGTTTACATGTAAGAGGTTATTTTGGACAATTGGTATAGACTCATAAAACTTTGTCATGTGTTGGATCTTGGGTCCTCAGAATCTGTCCAAAAATTTTGGAATAATATGAATGAAATATGGAGAGTGTCCGTGTTTTAACATATGGGTATGTGGACTTTATTGGCACAATTCTGAAATGTTACACTTTAACAAGACATAATGCATCACATCCAAAGATGTAATGTACCTATATTTGCACCAAAAATTGATTGTATATTGCAGTTTTAAATTAAAAGGATAAATACATATATACGCTGCACGCATGCTCAAATGTTGATTGATAAATGAATCAGGTTGGACATGGGTATAACAGCAGTCACTTTTGACTTATGTGACATGACACTTATTCTGACAATAACTTTGAGTTATAAGATCATCAACATTTAGTTTGGCTTAAATGATTTTTGTGGGAATCATTGTATTTTCATTTTCTAATGGAAAACAGCTTACACTTGCCAGTATGGTGACTAGAATTGCTACAATTCTCTCTGAACTTGTGTTAAATATTAACATACAGAACTTCAGCTCAGAAATCTGTTGTTAAATCTAACAGATAAATAATATCAAAAAATGACCTTGCTTCAAGATTTAGAAGGTATTTATTGAAAAAAATCTTACAGTTTTACATGTATGTACATGTACATGTATCTTATAAATAATGCAAATCACAATCCTCAACAAGGTAGAAATCTCTCCTACAACAACAACCCATTGTCTGTAATGCAAAGTATACATGTACCCTATTTATATGTACATGCTTTATAAGTCACAAAGTCTTCACTGTACACAGCAAATGTTCCTGTAGCAATCCAAATTAAGGACACTGTGATTCAATTTTAGTTTAAATGACCCGAATTCATAAGGCAGTATCAGTGGAAACATAATTTTCACATTTCAACTCACTCAACTGGCAAATAAGCATCACATATTCCACCATCTTAAATGACAAATCTTATTTTTTCCATGCTCACAAATGTTTACTGTTAATCAATGTTCTTACTTGTACAGTAAAACATGCTTATAGAGAACCCAGTTATAATACATTTCCACTTTAAGTGATTTTCATTTCCTATAGTTGTTAAACATATTGTGAAACTAAAGTATCTAACAAATTAAGTTTATAATGAAACAAAATTACCTGTCCCTGACACTGTTATAAGCATGTTTTACTGTATTAAAGGAAAAATTGCAATACATTTACAAAATGACATAAATTTCAAGGAATCTGTTGCAAAGTTTGCAGCATTTAGCAAAGATAAATTGTTTTATGCCCTTTTATTCCTCTTGCCATTTTAAAAATAATGAAATAAATTGAATTACTTTCTAAATTGCTTCACCAAGTGTATCATTAGTTATGCTCAGGCAAATCTTTCTCTTTAAGTATACAGTAACAATGACTTTCATCAAATATACAGTGTAAAGATTGAAGTAATGCTGCCCCAATACCTTAAAACTTAAATAAGAGAATGATTTTTATACAAAATTAATCTAGTGTTGTCCTAATGGGACCAATACCCCCCACTGGAGGTTACATCAACTCAAGTACCCCCAGATGCAGTAGGATGACACATCTGCAGGTTTAGTATGGAGCTCTGGAAAATGACCACTGTCAGCTTTCCCTTGCATCTACAGATGGACAGACAGACACAGTGATTCCAGTTTCCCAATTACAATTTCATAGTTGGGGAAAAAATATACATAGTTTATAACTTAGTAAGCACCATATCTGCTTAAGGTGTATAAGATAATAAATTATCAAAGTTTTATATACAGTACAGTATATAAGAAAAGAATAAATCTCCACATAAATCAGTTTCTGAGCCAATTTTCTTCACTCAAGCAGACCAACAAATACCAGTATACAATGCATAATTTCATACAATTATACAAATATTTTCTAAATGTTAAAATCATGACTTAATCTTAAAATCAAAATTTGACAACCCTGTTATTTCTCTCTTTTATAAGTAAATATTTTTTTCCTAAATATCTTCTGACATAATAGAAAAATAAAAAAATATTGTGACCTAGAATTGTGTAGCTTCTTTTTGAAGAACTTGAAAATTTTTGTCTCAAGATATTTTGTGAAAAGTTCAACATGGGCCAAGTTCTTAAAGTGTGTGCTATATCAGTATCTCAAAGCACACTGTCTTTTTAATGCTTGTAAGAGTTTCATATTGGTTTTGCATATTTTATATCACGATATAATCTCTAAAACACAAAGGGTTTTGTTTATACATTGGTTTCCTTTAATCTTCAAATAATCTATAATGTAGCCCTGATGTATTACATATACTACATATAATTAGTTAAATATCAAGTTTCTAGACTTGTGAGTTGTAGTTGTGAAGCAGTGCACACAAAGATATGTAGATACAATGGTTCAAAAACTGAAAAATTAAAACAATTCAAATTTGTGGTATCTAATTTAAATAGATCTTCAATCCACTGTTTCAATGGGGTCAAATTACCATAATTTGCATATCTACTTATACCCCACAAAAAAGTTTGTTACAATTAATAAACATCATTCTAATCTTTTTATGCATGAGTCGCTAATTAACTGTGAAAACAGAAATGTAACTTGCACCTCAGTGGTTGTATTGTTTTCAATGCCAGCTACTATAATAGCCAATAAAAAATACGATATAAAGAATAACATTAACCTTAAAATTCTTTCAGAAAACAAGAGGTCCTGGGGCCACAGTGCTCACCTGAGCACATTGGGCTTGAATTTAACCCCCCCCCCCCCCCCAGGCGTTCATCATTTGAACATACTAGAATCTACACTACCTGAGGATGATTCCATATAAATAACACTAATCATAGTTTTGAAGTACTTGAAAAGAAGATTTTAAAAGGTTTCCCTATATATCCTTATGTAAAACTTGGGTGGGCCATTTTGGCCCCAACCTAGCCCCAGGGGTCATCATTTGAACAAACTTGAATCTACACTACCTGAGGATGATTCCACATGAGTTTCATCTTTCCTGGCCCAGTGGTTCTGGAGAGGAAGATTTTTCAAGATTTTTTCCTATATATTCCTATGTAAAACTTGGGTCTGCCATTTTGGCCCCACCTTGCCCCGGGGGTCATCATTTGAACAAACTTGAATCTACATTACCTGAGGATGATTCCACATGAGTTTCATCTTTCCTGGCCCAGTGGTTCTGGAGAAGAAGATTTTTAAAGATTTTTCCTATATATTCCTATGTAAAACTTGGGTCGGCCATTTTGGCCCCACCCTTGCCCCGGGGATCATGATTTGAACAAACTTGAATCTACACTACCTGAGGATGATTCCACATGAGTTTCACCTTTCCTGGCCCAGTGGTTCTGGAGAAGAAGATTTTTTAAAAATGCCATTAATTTTTCTCTAATTCATACCGGGTAATTATCTCCCCTTGGAAAAGGGCGTGGCCCTTCATTTGAACAAACTTGATTCCCCTTCACCCAAGGATACTTTGTGCCAAGTTTGGTTAAAATTGGCCCAGTGGTTCTTGAGAGGAAGATGAAAATGTGAAAAGTTTACGACGACAACGACGACGACGACTACGACAACGACTACGACAACGACAGACAACGGACAAATTTTGATCAGAAAAGCTAACTTGAGCCTTCGGCTCAGGTGAGCTAAAAATGAGCATGATGATACCCCATCACATAAATTATTAACATACATTGTATTGTAGTACAAGTACCTAATGTACCTGCATACAAATAAATAATGTAAATAGGGAAATTTTCGCCATTGTTTTATTTTTGCCCCTTTCACCCTCTTCATGATTGGGCAAATTTAAAACAGGGGAATTCAAAGAACACAGCATAATTTCTTAAACAGAACTATGACTAGGAGAATTTAAATCAGTGTAAAATTGCTCCCAAGTGCAAAAGGGCGAAAAATAACATGGGGCGAAAATAACCCTGTATACAGTACTCTATCTTTGTGAAATTTAATAAGTTATCAACATGGAAAATAAGCAAATTTCTCAGCCTACAAAACCCCATTGTTCACTGGTCCATAAACACATTGTGGCCATGCATCTGAATAAATGGAATCAAAGAAGTTGGAACCTCAGTTTGGAATGGTATGTTGTTTTTCATAATGACCTCCGATGCCAGGCACTGCAGACTTCTGTACTGGAGAGGAAAGACAGGCAACCCTGCAGTCTGTATCAACGTCAGGGCACTCTGCCCCTCACCGTTATAAACATCCACATGGGCCCCGTTTCCCAGGAGACAGGCCAGAATGCCTTCGTTCTGGAGCTCAGAGTAGGTCAGGAACCTGATGCTGTTATGTAGGGCAGTGTTACGTTTGTGATCCACTGCATTGATATCAGCCCCACAGTCTATCAGTATCTGTACCACAGCGAGAGAAGGAAAGGGGGAGAAAAACTCTTCACTGGTCAGGGAAATTTTTGGATCTACAGACAGATGAAGCAGACTCTCCCCCTCCTGACCCCGGGGGTTAGCAGACACTAGCTGGTGTACAATCCTCTTGAAGTTAAAACTCTCCTCGTCTGACTGAGGTAGCTGGGAGATCAGGTGAATCATATGGAGAGACAACTGCAGCAGGAGCTGAAAATCCTCCACTAGGTGGCACTCTCCATTAAACTGGTTCCCCTTCTGGATGGCCATTGCTTGCTGTCCATCTATTATCTGCTCAGTCAGTTTGGCAAACACATCCAAAGCATCGGAGAATCTTACCTAAAAAATAAACATTACATTACAGTACTTGCAAAACTGTGCATACATCTCATACTGATCAGTTAAAGCAATTTAAAAGTCATAAAACTTGCATTAAACTACAATACATATATATTTGTAGATATAATAGTCAAAAGAAGTACCTTTTCCTCTGTTGCATTGGACTCTAATTCTACTTGCATTTCCCAGAAGAGTTTTACCAAGGCTTGAACTGTAAACAAACACTCCTGTTTAAGAGGGTCTCCTTTACTATGCCTCAACATATAGGCATACATCCAGAGATCAACACAGCGCTGATACCGATGGCTGTCGGCGTACACTGCTCCTCGGTACATCAATCCAAATGTGGTGTCCTTGTGGTTTGGTCCTAGAATCCGCTCTCTTATCAACAAAGCCTGCATGTAAACATCATCTGCCTCGGTTATTTTTTCTAATTCCTGCAAGGTTTGAGGTTCTCTGGCATGCTGATATGCATAGATGGTGCTGGCTGGGATATCCTTGATGATGATATTCTGTGGATCTAGAAATCTCAAAGTCATGGCCTTCTTCCATATCTCAATGGCTCCAGAAATATCATGAATCTCATCCACAAGATTTGCTCCTAGAAGTTCCAGTGAGTGGATAGCGTCCCTAGGGGTCTGCTCTGTATTGTCCAATATGTACCTCACTATATTCGTGTATCCCCTTAGTGCTGCTGTTTGCAAGGCATCATCTCCAAACACATTCTTTGCCTTATAGTCCGATCCATACTTCAGCAAAAGCTTCACTGTTTCCAGCTGGTCTTCCCTTATAGCATAATGTAGAGCCAGGTTACCAGAGTTATCACGAGCATTCACATCAGCACCTTTCTTGATTAGATATTCACACAGAAATGGGTCTTGAACGGAGTTAATTAAACATGTTCCTCCATTGACATTTGGTTTGTGAAGGTCAGCACCATGATCCACAAGGAATTTGACGATGGAAATGTTAGTCATGTAACAGGCCGATCTGACAGGGGTAGACTGGGTATCCGAGGGGCTGTTGATTTCTGCATTATGGAGCACTAATGTCTTGACAACCTCGAGATGGTTAGCGACGGCTGAACACCAGAGTGGAGTAACGACGTGGCGGGAATGGTCCGTCTCTACTTCATATATCCCACGCTGCTCTATGTCAGCATGGCATTCATCTAAGAGATAATTAACTATATGAACAAGTCCTTTCAGACAGGCAGTAAACAAAGGGGCATTACCCATGATTTTATGGGAGACTATCCTTCTTCGCTGGTCTTTGTTGAATTTACGGATAGTTGCCTTTAGTTTATTAAGTTTGTCCTCCTGAATACAGTTATGTACAATGGAGGCGTACCACGACACGTCAACGTCGTCCGTCCTCACTGATGTACAACTCGACATCATCTTCTAACACTACTCTAACCACGAAAAGTCCTCCCTGAAATACAGAAACAGTTGACATTAATTTATGGTATTTATAACACAAAATTTAAATGGCAAATGCGTTTATGAATCAACTTTATAATAAAAATTAATCCCAAACACTTTTGAAATGGTTACAACTTCTATCAACTGTAAGCAAATACAAAATATGTATAACCAGTAGTGAGAAAATAGTGTTTTTTTTATCACTTGCAGTTTTCATGTACATATTTTATTAATAACAAAGCCAGGAGGTGAAAATTGTTGGTACTCACAGGAGGAGTTGTTACAAGGAAGGTACAGCCCTAGCACAACTAGTCAGAAGTTAGAGTCAAGGTTTAAGTTTTTCTCCAAAAGTAAGTCAAAATCAAATGTCAAATCAGAGATTAAAAGAAAAAGATTGTTGGTTCTATAACAAGAAAGGCTTGGTGTAAAATGTGGAGGATGGAGTGTCACAGAGTGCAAGGGGTGAATCTTCTAGATTCAAAGGACACAAGAGGTAAAGGTCCTGTTGCAATATTTGCACTTGCTTATCAGATCTGTCAATACAATTTCAAATTTTCCATGAGAAATTTATAAAGTATCACATTATCCATACAAATATAAAACTAGATATCATTGAGATGGTGGCCATCTCAAAGGGCCCCGCTTTCAACAATGAACATGAAAATGTAAGGTAGTTTAAAAGTGTTTATTTTGAAGAGGAACATTTGCGTAATACAGTAAAATACGGTAAAATAATACAGTAAAAGTCATTTAGTACAACTTCAGAGATATTGCGAATTTACAGATATATATGGAAGTTATCTGTCCCCAATATAAATTTACAATTTTATGCACCAAACAAAGATTTTCCATGACCTAGAAATTTATAAGGTCACTGCACATCCATTGACCAGTGGAACTCTGTGAGTGAAGTAATAGCCAGTTTGGGCCAAGGAGAGAGAAGATCTGCTCCGGACAAGGTTTTTTCATACTATTCTGCATTGACCTTGACCTTTGACCCCGAAACATGGTTCAAGGTCACTGCACACCGGTTACCCAAAGGCACTCTGTGGGTGAAAAGTTGGGCCAAGGAGAGAGAAGATATTCTCCGGACAAGGATTTTTCACATGTCTGCTATGACCTTGACCTTTGACCTAGAAACATGATTCAAATTCACTGCACGCCGGTTACCCAAAGGCACTCTGCGAGTGAAGTATAAGCCAGGTTGGGCCAAGGAGAGAGAAGATATGCTCAGGACAAGGATTTTTCACATAAGTCTGCTATGACCTTGACCTTTGACCTAGAAACATGGTTCAAGGTCACTGCACACCGGTTACCCAAAGGCACTCTGCGGGTGAAGTACGAGCCAGATTGGGCCAAGGAGAGAGAAGATATGCTCCGGACAAGGATTTTTCACATAAGTCTGCTATGACCTTGACCTTTGACCTAGAAACATGATTCAAGGTCACTGCACACCGGTTACCCAAAGGCACTCTGCGGGTGAAGTATGAGTCAGATTGGGCCAAGGAGAGAGAAGATATGCTCCGGACAAGAGATGTGGATGGACAGACTGATCACTATAGGGCGCCCGCCAAGCGGGGCCCTAAATAATTTCTTAAAAGTTGAATCAATTTTTTCTTGAAAATCAATTTTGTGTAGACCATTTGCAGGGCTCTCGATTCTCTATAATTGGGGCCATTCCCAATTCAAAAAATGTACCCTTTTTCCCAATTGAATGTTTAATTTTCCCAAAAGTCATTTCTCCCAAAAAATAAAGAAATTATTGCTGGATATGTAATAATAAAATTTGTTTTTCACATTCCTCTGTATTGCAAAACAATACTTTAGTTGATAACAAAGATCAGAAACCCAGTATTCATGTTTATAAAGAATAATGGTTATCCCTAAATTTCCCAAAATGTCGCTATTTTTCCAAATTTTGACAGACCCAGACCCATTCCCAAAAAGTGGTTTGAGCGCCCTGATTTGACAATATCTTTTGGAATATATAATGAGAAACTGTTTGGAAACATGACCTTCATATGTTAACAAGGGGAACATCTTTGCTTTCATTAATTTATTTAAAATTCTAAAATAATTTTAAAAACTGAATGAAACAGAAACAGAATCAAAATTATTCATTACTGCATTGCTGTCATTTTCATTTCTCAAAGAATGAGGAAGGATCGAGAAACAATCAAATGACATTCAGTCCAAAAATCAAAGTACTGAAAGTACTGGGAAGCGCTAAGCATGGTTCAATTTGAAATTCATCAGAATTTAAATTCCTTATTGCATTGGAATAAGTACATGAAATATTTTGACGAAGCAACCTTTGTGGGGGGAGGGGGAACTCAGTTGTTTAATTTTATTAGTAAACCCGCCTCTTGATCGCATTTACTGTTATGTTAAACAATATTGAATGTAATTGTATTACTATAACAAAGTCTTAAAAATGCAAAAAAGAATTAAGAAAGAGAATCTATTGATTTACTACCTCTGTGCAATTTTTTTTAAGGCAAGTGAGTTACTTTTTTAACCTTTCTTTGTTTGTCGCACCATAGGGCAGTAACACAGTTACCTGTCCGGAGAACAAGATTACTTGTGTTGCATTGTGGGTTCAGGTTTCTGTGATAAAATTAAATTTATATCAAAGTTACAGTCCGATTTTTTTCTTCTGACTCATCTCATTTCAGATTATGTATATAGCTCTGCATTAACTGGAAAGTTTTTTTGGGGGGCAAATGACAAAAAAAGAAATGTTACTGATACATGTATCTTTCTCTTGAATATAAAGTGGAAAACACAAAACCTTCTAGACTAATGAAATTTTGAATAATGAATCATTCTACCTCTCAAGAATATGAAGAATATTATTCGTACTAAAATTCGAAATCGGCTGTCGGAGACCCTGACTTTATTTGTTATTATCGGCCGCAGAAGTGATCAATCTATAATTGGCGGTTGTGTTTGAAAGTGCACAGGGAGAAATGAGATATTATTCTTTATTTGTTCCATTTAAAACATCCTTAACGATAACATATTTTAGGATTATGAATAAAAGATTCTTAAAATGGCTTAATATTTTGTTTGAACTGTTTTTAGTATATTTTAATTTTTTCTCCTCTTCATATATATTTATAAAGTTATAATTAATATACCCGGTAATTATAAAGTTTTCACCGTTTTACAAGGGAAATTTCCTAGCATGGGAGCTTGTAATATATACACGCAGTCATTACAAGTTTCTGGGTATATAAATAATGAATAAAGTTGAGCTTTTAAATTTTGTTTTGAATGTGCTACAGTTGAATAACATAACAATATTTTTTCAATATTTCACATTAATTGTGAAGCCAATCCCCCATCGAGCAGCATGTTGCTATCATCTTGTAACAAAAATCCCAGAAGACTTTACTTCATTTTTTCAGATTACATTGCTATATACAGTATCAATTTTGGGTATAAGGATACTGCATTTGTCTTTTTGTCATTTTGATGAAAAACTATTCTTATCATTCATCTCTGACTCTCGTGCATATGAATTAAAATTTATTTGTACCAAAAATTAAAAAATGTTTGGCCATTCTATTTCTCATGTAATATTTGAAGCTGATTTGTCAATATTTCTTTTTAAAATAAAAATGTTAAATTAAATACTCTTCTACTTAGAAATAAAAATATATCGTATTAAAATTCGTTCGTATTTTCCTTGGACTTATTTTGGCAGATATACTTTAAAATGCTTCAGTTTTTTTTCACTATCATGTAAAACATGCTGACAAGAATGAAATACTAGTAGCCACAACACCCAAGCGTTCAGTGAAAAGGATTTTTTTGCATCAAAATATTTTGTTACAGATAAAGACTAAAAAACAAGTATTGACTCTATATAAATGTGTTCAAGTTTGTGCTAGTGATGGATTCTGTGAAATCATTATCATTGATAGCCCTCTGCATGATGCAAGTGTGATAATAAAAAGGCCCGTTTGTATTTACATGTACATTGTTTGAAATAAAGGCCCAAAAGAGGGCGTGAAAAATTAGGGAATAAAACTACAAAATGAAGATACAAACCATATATTATAGTTAAATAATTTTTTATGGAAGTATACTTCTAAAAGATTTAATTCCAATTTGATTTTTAAATACTCATTGAAATTTTAATGAGAGCTTTTAAATACATGTGTGCATGAAATCTTTTTACGGCACTTGTATCAATATATCAACATGCATGGTCATTTACTTTTTTCGAATTACCACTGCAGAAATAAGATTTGTGACCTAATTAGTGTTTGCCAGTACTTATTAATATGCACCATATTGTTCAGAGATAAGAACCGCCCTTATCCACTAACACAGGATTTCCGTATATGCGAAAGTTAATATCGACTGTACTAATAAACACCTATTATGATAACTCCTACACTAAAGTAGCAGACAGAGGGTCGGGGATTTCCAGTTGTATATTTTTAGACGACTCAGTAGAGTTACATAACTTGCTGTCATTACGTCACAATGGTTAAAAACGCTGTATTTTGTAGGTGTCTTATCATTTTCCGCGCGCGCTTAAATCGCAAAAGGAGGAATATCACTGACGTCCTTTTGGCCAATGTCAAAATTACAAAAATCATTTTGAAATAAAACATAATATACAATATTTATTTTTAAAACTATAATCACCTTTAGTTCATCATTTTGAAATCGAACATAATATACAATATTTATTTTTAAAACTATAATCACCTTTAAAAAGACCACGGAGATAATTTAGATCAACAATAGAAGGCCTTGCAAAGGCATTATAGAACCCTATTTGTTTAAATAATTATATCATTATTCATAGAGGGCACGTTAGGGGCGCGTTCAAGATCTTAGTGCTAGATGGATATTAAGTACATCTACATGATACACGAATTTTGAACAAGAATAGCAGCCACGTAAAGAATATATATTATAAATATTTATGCTATAAAGTTTGAAATCCTGCAATCCTACTTGGATAACACTTAATTTGCATCACGCGACTTCTGTATATACCGGTATACTAACTGAAGGAATTTTCTTTATCTAAACGTTAAATCTCACACATTAAATTTTCGCATGCTTTTATCCATATATATGTTATAAATGAAATTATTGTATAATAGAATTAAAATCTAACGAGTAGACGAGCTGTCTTTTCAAAACAACTGGGTATATGTAGCAAATATTAAACTACGCTTAAGTTTTCTTGAAAGTATGGTATTGAACGCAGCCCTGATATATATGGTCGGTAGAGGGCGTTGATTAAAAGATCGTGAAAATCATCATGGAATCTGAAGACACCCTAGTACAGACCTGTTTACCCATATCTTCGTCTCTCAGTATTTTTGATTAGATTTCTCTGTGAGATTTGGCATTTGCCAGTAAGATTGAAATTTCCGTCGATTTTACATATATTAAAAGAGAACAACTACTATATTGATTACAAAAACTTGGTTTAACAACATGGTCATTGTCATTTTATAATACCACGTCATTTTGGCAACCCGACATCACTTGGGTGTTTGAAATTTTTCTCCTTTTAATCGACTCAAATGCGTAAAACGAAGACATATCAAAACGAAAACTAACTGCTAAGTTCCAAACGAACGTATTTCCAATTTCCATATTTTCATAAAAGCAAAACGTGAAAATGACATTTAGACTTCCAAAATAAAGTGGCTATGCAGCCTGTGCTTTTGTTTTAATTTTGTTAGATAACGGATGCCAAGTGCAACATAAATCTTGGTAAGCTTTGTGTCTTGCACTGCAATCCCACAGTAACCTGTGAAGTAATTAAGTTTCAATATGTTAAAACTGAATAAAATGAATAGTCAAAAGAGTTGTAATTGACACAAGAGGCTCCATCCCTTGCACTGTCTGACACCCCATTTTGGATCCTCCATCCTCCCAAATTTATACAAATTTTAAGCCAACAAGAAATACGCAAGTGAATGTCAGCAACTGTTCTAAAGTTGTGGCTATAAGGATAAAGTTTTTCAAAGAAGACCAAATGCCATAGTCAGGAAGTCAAATAAATTGGCACCCAGAAAAATGTCATTTTACAAAAAAAAGTAGATAGTAGTAGCTGTGCACAACCCAATTTGTCATTTTGTGGAGAATTTATTTTATGTAGCTAGTTTTTTGTAAAACAGGTAAAGTCATAGAATTTATAACATTCTGATAAAAAGAATAAATAGGATTTAAAACAGAAATAAGAAACTAACAGTTTTAAAATTAATCATACTCAACTCGCCCACACAACTTAGGCCTTTCAACTAATTTTTCAAGTTGCACATATGGTAAAAAACATTGTATAGATAGATTTATAGGTACAAGAAATTATCAAAAAAGATAATAACTTATGCATACTTTTAATTACATCATTAAAAAGTTTAATCATTTATAACTGACTTTTCCGATGTTGTGTTTAAGGATAGGTAACTCAGGTGTGGAAAATGACCAACTTAGTGCCGATTTATGAGTTATCGTTTATAGGAATGATATATAGGCTGCTTCAGCATTGGTATTGTTAAATACACAAAAGGGTTCTATGCATTGTTTTGTACGCAAAACGTTTTGTTGCCTTCACTCTACCTGAAATAACAGGGTCAAATGAATGGGGAACACATATTCAATAGTTTTAACTCTCTTTGACGATTATTATGAAGAAGAAAATTTAATGTCATGTTTTTTGTGTTCGCGCTTTTTCGCTTCCTGTGTAATTATATATATTTTTACAAGTAATTGCAACAATTGATCATCTTATTTGTTTTACTAAGCACAAATGGTGAGTATAAAAATTAAAATAGGTTCAAATCCATTTCACTTTTTATTTTAATTAAAAATTTTAATTATATGCAGTAAACCGGTGTTCGCATATACAGTAAATAAGTTTAACATTGGTGCTAAATTTTAAAACCATCGATTCTACTGAGAGCAAAGACACACTTAAATGCTAAAAACTGCCTTGAGTGTAAACAGTTTCCATGTGTTTCAGAGTGATTTCGTTCATAACACCGACCCCTAGCGGCAGTTGAAAGGCCTACACAACCGCTGATACTAAAACAAGTCCCACGGAGAAAATAAGTCCCACATGAGTCCCACGTGAGTCCCACAGCAAAAGAGCCAATAAATACATATAATAAAGGGTTATTTTGAAAGCATATTATATTTATATGTGTATATCAAAAAGAGTTTTGATAAAAAATATATGTGTTAAATAGACGTGTAAATTCAGACCACAGTCAAGAATGATAACTCTGTTCAAATGTAAACAATGGCCAAGAACTATAATGACAATGTTTAATTTACTGCTGATAGCTAACTTTTTTTCTAAAAAAAAAAATAGATATTTGTAAAAATATATTTTAATAAGGAAGTTAATTTAATATGGTGCTATTTCTGAATTTAATTTGTTCTTCTGTTTTACTTGAATTTTTAAGTTTCGGAAAATATTCTTCACAATTATATCAAATACAATAAAGTAAGTTTTATTTTATTATAATGATTTTATATTATTACTTTGTTTCTTAACATAGTTTTACTGTTTTTATGTTTTAACAACAACTTGGTAAGTTTTCTGTGTGATATACACAGACTTTGTGGTTTCACAACACCTATGCACACCTATCTCCCTGATGTATGTACACCTATTATATTTATTAAAAAATTCAAATTAGTAAATTAAAAAATTATTGAAATTTCAGTGATTATGTATGACAAATAAGGTCATTAATCAAAAATTTTCGTATTTGATTTCAGAAATAAAAACATTCCTTGAAAATTAAATTAATAAAGAATTATGATTTTTGTCAGCATAAACTGTATTGTAAATTCTTGATCAAAAATTCAACTAATAGTATTAAAGGCACAACCATTGAAGTTTTGTATTAATTTGTAGAACAAATACCATGCAGAGAAGTAACTGTTATCTGTCCATTTTCTCTATTAAAAAATGTGTTTATTATAATGAAAAGATAAAAATTTTGATTACTAAACAAATGTTAAAGCCAGTTTACTCCTGGATATGGAACTTTATTTTTAAAAATAAACTTGGAATTTTATAGTGATTTGATTTACACCATGAATTATATGTACACAAAAAAAGTCAACGAAATTAGATGTTGAATTTAATTTTGATCTCAAAGAATTTTTTTTTTATGAACGAATTTTATATATAGACTTCAGTAGCCAAACTTTAATAGTCCATAACTTAGGTTCTGAAATCCTGCAATTGCGTTATTGAATGTCAGTGAATTAAATAAGGAAGTAAGTAAGTAACTATTTATTAAAGTGACATTGTGCATTATAAGAATTGTAATTTGCATAAACAAATAAAAAAAATTAAAGCTGCAGTCTAATAATTATAAGAAGTGCTTTCCATCTTCGACAGAAGGACTTTAACAGAATTAAAACACATGTTATAACTTAATAATAAAAACATTTTCCACAAGTTCATCATATTCATCAAATATATTTCCAGGACACCTGAATACAAGCCCATGCATCTGAGTACTAATTCTAAGTTTTTCACAACGCAAGTGTCTTTAATGGATGAAAACACAGCTATCTCAACTCAGTCAACTGGAATTCTGATTTTTGCAGTCAATTGATTCCTCATTTCACTTAACTGTTATAAAATACAAAGTATTATAAAAGTTTAATGTAATTTAAAAAAAAATTAAGATATCATTCAAATACTAGTTTATCACTGTTGTCAGATATAAATCACTTCCAATTTCATACCATGTTATGAATGAGTAAACTAGTTCACTAAAAATCTTTATCTTTAAAACAATACTTGTAGGTCTATATAATTTCCTAGGACTGTATAGTCGTAATTTTCAAAAGAAAGAATGGCTTTAATTATTAGCTAGTACATTGCACATATTAACTAAAAATCTCTTTCTCATATGAACTTGATAAATACAACTAGCATTGAAAAAAAATCTCTCTCCCAAGGTTTGATGTTGTAAAATTGTTAAATTTATATAAAAATTGATTGTAAATGTGTGTTTTTGGTAGTAGTTTTTTTAGTCATTAGAACTGCTACAGAAGGCATATAAACCAAGGAACATTGTGAAAGTTTTATAAAATCTTTAGAATTAAAATTTGGATGGCTTGTTACTTCAATACTTGAGGCAGATGTAAGAGTTATTGCTCTTTGTTTATACACGATCATTAGAAAACATCTTAGAACTTCTTGCATTTTTAAAAGATAATTAATTCAATGATAAAATTATTATATCTTTTAATTTTTGTTTTCAAAAAACTACTAAAATGCTATCATTATTGTAACACTATAAGTTATATGTGGATATAGGAGTTTTGCAACTATCGTTAAAACATTTTTTATGACAAAATTTTAAAAATATATAGTTTATAAGATATGTTGTTAAATATTAATAAAATATCATATTTACTGGTGGGACTCATTATTTTCCCTCCATCCTACAACACAACTGGTTCAATCGAGCTGGGTGCAAATGGAAAATGTTATATAACAAAGCCGGGTAACATTTTAATCTAATGAATCCATGTCAAACAACATACACACTACATTTACTATGTAAACCAACATTCTGCTATTGTTGGCATAACATTTGTTTACAGTACTTATCCTAAACAACTATTTCACATTCTATCCGAATTTTCTCTTAAAACGTTTCATTTCAAATTGTCAATCTATTTCGTAAAGAATTTCTTCTTTTAAAGAAAAATCGTTTGTAATGCACAATCGTACAGATACTTTACAAGGACTGCAGATAGATGTCAATAATTACTTTTTAAATAAAAATATAAAATACTAACAGTATCCTTGCTTTTTCCTTTTTACCCCTTTGTTGTCGATAGATGGCGCCTCAATTACCGTACATCGATCCCGATATTAATTACAGGAAGGTGTTAGTCCATGAGACTACGCTGCTCACCTACTTGCTATTTGTTGAATACAAAGGTGAAAAATAAATAAACAAGTTGCTGTCCTTTAAAAAAGGACTGCAATACGTGGACCATAATTATGCATGTGTTTCTAACCGAAATTCAATTTAAGAAAATTTCTAGGAGCAGTGAAAACTAGTATTCATGTAGGTTTGTTCACATTTTCTACAATGATCTGCCTACTTACGACTGATTGTAGTTTCAAATCAAAATTGTTAAATTATCTCCGATTTGCCTTTACTTTTGTCAGTTTAAAAAATCTGGCTATTTTGATACGTAACCCATAATGGCTGGGACTTGACACCTGTTCTAGATTTATACGCAAGAATCTATCATGGGAAAAATAGATCTGATGGTGTAGCACAGCTCTGTAGTATGCAGATTTTTTTTTTCGGAGCACCCCCCCCCCTCCCTCACACGAAAAAACCTTCGCTACAGATCTCTATCAAACGGTATTTGGATTGCTGAAATATCAAAAAAAAAAAAATTTGCGAGCCTTGATGCACAAAGTTAATGCCGGTGCAAAATTGTTTAATCTTTTAAAAGCTAGAACTATTTGAATTACGTTTTTAATTCAAGTTGTTAAGTTACATCTATTTATATACTGCGAGTTCTTCCTACTTTTTAGAATGCTTGTGCCGTAGAATCAATGTTTAGTTTGTATATAAAAGTATATATGTAAAAGAGAAAAAATCAGATCTGCTTATGAATATGTAAATGCAATGTGCAGATTTAAAAGCGCGATTTGCCAATGAATGGCATATTATTATTCGAATAGAGCGAATTATTCTACGGGCGGGTTGTCTAGAGGCAAATTCTCTAGCATTCTGGTGCATGCGTAGCCTGTCGTTTGCCCATGGCATCCGGTTTAACCTCGCTTATATATTTACTGCGTGGACCTCAGGGTCCACGCAATAATACAAAGTAAAATAAAAAAGAATAAATAAAGTAATATGCAAACAAAAGAATAAATCAATAGATTACTTGAAACATGTCCATAGCTTTGATAGCTAGCTAGGACATTCATTTATGCCCCATCGTGGATATATTAGTAATGAAATATGAAAATTTGCATAAGTGAATGAAGTTTGATAAGAATATCTTGAATAGTTCCTATGAAATTGTTATTCAAATCAAAACAATGGGACAAAGATGATAAAATCTCATCAAAAATATCTTAAATAGTCTCTTTAAAGCTAAGCAAGATGCAAATAGAAGAAAAGTGAGGGCAAGGTCAAAGGAAAAGTCAAGGTCAAAGGTTATTGATGAAGTTTAATAGCATTTACTCATACATATCACAACAAGAAGTTTGATAACACTATCCTTAATGGTTTAATAAAAACTTGGCTAAACAATAAATTAAGAAAAATGAGGTCATAGTCAAAGGAAAGGGCAAATCTGGACAATGTCACAAAATTTTGATGTAGTTGTACATATTTCTTAATTCAGTATATATCAGCATATGACGTTTGAATGGTTTCTTGGGAACTGAGCTAAGCAGTACTTTAAGAAAAGTAAGGTCAATGTAAAAGAAAAGGCCAAGGTCAAAAAATGTTAATGCAGTTGAACAGCTTGCTCAAGTGTGTATCAGCATATGAAAGTTGATACCTGACTATTCTGAATGGTTTAATTTGGGGCAACTTTTGAGCCAAATTATATTTCCTATTTTAAGTAACCATGGCAACACCGTTCATTGAAATCAAAAACTAATATGCAGAACTTTGTATATATCTTAGTATATAGTCTATTTGCCAAGTTATATTGAAATCAGACTAAAACAATAGGAGTAGTAGCATTTTGAAAGTATTTCACAGAAATTTCTATTTTTAGTGACCATGGCAACACCGTTCATCGAAATCAAAAACCAATATATAGAATTATGAACCTTAGTGTAGTCTGTAAGCTACTTGTGTGCAAAATTATATTGAAATCAGACTAAAACTGTGGGAGAAGTAGCATTTTGAAAGTATTCACAGAAATTTTTTATTTTTAGTAACCACGGCAACATCTTTCATCAAAATCAAAAACCAATAATAGAATTATGTACCTTAGTGTAGTCTACTTGTGTGCCAAATTATATTGAATTCAGAATAAAACTGGGAGCAGTCGCATTTTGAAAGTATCACAGAAATTTTTATTTTTAATGACCAATGGCAACATCGTTCATTGAAATCAAAAACTGATAAAAAGAATTTTGTATCTTAGTTTAGTCTACTTGTGTTTCAAGTTATATTGAAATCAGACCAAAACTGTAGAAGGAGTACGTAGCATTTTGAAATTATTTCAAAGAAATTTCTATTTTTAGTAACCATGGCTTCATTGAAATCAAAAACTGACACACAGAATTAAGTATCTTAGTGTAGTCTTCTTGTGTGCCAAGTTATATTGAAATCAGACTTAAAACACCATTCTTCAAAATAAAAAACCGATACAAAGAATTATGTTTCTAGTATTAAAAGTCTACTTGTGTGCCAAGTTATATTGAAATCAGACCAAAACAGTAGAATGAGTAGCATTTTGAAAGTATTTCACAGAAATTTATATTTTTAGCAACCACAGCAACATCAAAATCAAAAACCGTTATATAGAATTTTGTATCTTATAGTAATCTATACTTGTGTGCCAAATTATATTGAAATCAGACCAAAACTGTAAAAGTACGTAGTAGAATTTTGAAAAATTGTTTACAGACAGACAGACGAACGATGGATGCATTACTATCACATTTAAGCTCTTCTGGTTTCTTACTAGTGGAGCTAAAAATGACCACGCCATATTGTTGGAGAGGCATAAAAATTAAAAACATATTACAAAATATATGATTGAATAGATGTAATTATTAAGGACAGATGATACATAACAAGCTTTTGTCAATGAATTTGAAAATAACAACTTGGGTCATGTTTAAATGAATAAGATGAATAACTTTCACCGCGTAGTGTTTAATTGCACAAAAATGGAATTTAAAGTGAAAAATATTTGTATAGATTAATAAGGATGGGTTCAGAAGGGCACATTTTTTAACATCACAGACGGTTTACAATTTCTTTATATTCTAGAAATTTATTATTTGCATCATTTGCAATGGACTAAGGCCAAAAAATATATACCAATCCAGGCAACCATTTTTTGTTTGTATCATCTGTCCTTAATTTTATAGATTAAATACTTAAAGATATTCAAAAAAAACTAAAATCAGTTATCCTGGTACATGTAATTCAATTCAATTCATTTATTGACAACACCATCATACATTGGCATATAGTCATGAATACAACATTAATTAACATACATGAAATAAAATATCAAAGAAAGCATATATCAGGTTTGTTGAAGGTTTTCTTTCCTAATATCAAAGCACTTTTTCAAAAAGTTACAAACTCTCCTAGCAGTTCTAGTACTTGTAGGATTGATAATGTCAATAATAGGGTTTTCCTTCATGTAACATTGTGCATTGAATATATTGTAATATTGTAATCTACATTGATCATAACTAGGACAATAAAGTACAAAATGGTTTTCATTTTCAATAAAAAATTTACAAAAATGACATACACGTAGTATCTCCCCATTTCAATATGTAGGGGGTATGAGCTCTTCAATGGTAATTCTAGATAGTTTTGTAATTTATATTCATTTAAATCAATTATATTACTATAAAAAGTTAATTTCCCAGAATTTGATTTAGAAATGTTCTTTAATTGTTCACTGATCTTGTTTCTATAATGTTCCTCTAATTTATATTTTAAAGTTTTATGTGATATGTCCAATGAGGATAAAGACAATTTCTGTTGTAGAGTATAAAGCTTTCTTTGCCAAGACATTCTAGATTCCAGTGTTTTATCTTCCTTAAATGCAGACACTACTAATTGGTCATTATAATCATTTTCTCTCTCTAAGTTTTTCAGCCTTAAATAAAATTTATACATATTTTCATAACACAAATAAAATAATGGGAACTGTCCCAACTCATGTAGAACAGCAAAATTAGATGTTTTTCTATGAACATCCATAATGTCTTTTAAAATCAGGAGTTGTATATTTTCAAATGGAAAATAACCTGTGGATAATAAATCACATTTGTAGTCTGCAATTGAAATTTCAGAACCATAAGTTAAGATTGGAGTAATCATGGATGTATAAAGTTTAAGCATTGTCTTTACAGAAAAATTTGTATTAGCTGGAAAAATTGGTTTTTATAATAAGCTTTTCTAGCTCTTTCTGACAGTTGTTCTGCTGAGAATTTCATTTTTCCATCAGATTTAAACACTAAAATATTTATACTGATTTGTTATTTCTATACGGCTATGATTATAGTAAAACCAATACTCATTTTCACAATTTGTGCTTTGAGAAAAAAATCATAATATTTGTTTTTTCCATGTTCACACACAATTTCCAATCATGACAATATTTAACTAAAATATCTATACATTTCTGTAAACCACTAGGTGTCTCAGATACAGTTCATCAGCAAAAAACATGTGGTTAATAGGCATTAACTCTAAATATGTAATAAAATATTTTACAAAATCATCAATGAAAATATCAAAAAGCGTTGGACTCAGATTATCACCTTGTTTCACTCATTTGCACTCATTTGATTGTCTTTCTTACAGGAGTAATATGTATTTGTATACATATTGCATAGGAGTTTCAAAAAATTACCACCAATGCCTTTTGTAATAATGAGATCAGTATCATCACTTAATGAGTTTCATGAGGTTTTTAGGCTAGCTTATAATGTTCACTTTGAGGTTTCCTATCTTCTTTAAAGTTTACAAGTTTTATCGATAACAGCATTTGAAAGATTTTTGTTTGACAAAGGACCTAAGATTATTATGATTATGAAAACATACATGTCCTTGAGTAATGAAGATTTTCAAAGATGTACCATAATGCAATTTACAAATCTCCTAGGAGGTATTTTTGATAGATATCTGATGAATAAAAAGAAGATACCAGGGTATTTTGAAGTGTAATGTAAATTAACAAAAGCATACCTACCGGTACATTGTACATGCCGTATAAGTGGAAATTTGATTTTGAAGTGTAATGTAAATTAACAAAAGCATAAATTTTTTGCCTACCGGTCAGCACCCATTGCTAATAAAGCCAAAATTAAATCCTCGCTAAAAATTCATACAATATGTAACAAATATTTTAGTAATCCCAATCCTGTGACTAAATCTGCAACCTAAATACATACGGTAAATTTTACACCCTTAATTATGGCCATGTTGCAACAAAGCCCCACCATGAAGTCTTAATACCCAGAGATCATTGAATTCGAAATTTTGGAAAAGGAATTTTTTGCTTAATAAGATAAATTAATATTGCACATGTTGCCTGCCACAGATCCAGGAGTAAAAAAGATTTTTGAGTATGCCAATAATTTTAATGGTTATGACCTCATCCTTCAAGGAATATGATCGAAGTTCAAAATTTTTGTTCCTGTTTATCTACTTATATGCTTGTGAGAGAGAGGGTCAAAGTATTCCAATATTTGTGAAAGGTCTTCACTTCATTCAGCAAACCTCAGATGATTCTGTTACCTACACCAAATCTGGATGTTGAAGGTACGAATCAGCTACAAATCAACTAGCTAGTTGTAAAACAGTAACTTTTGTTTGAGCGAAAAAGACAAACAGCTGTGCATTTAATATTTTTAATTGATTTACAAACAATAAGTTACAATATAATGAACAGACTGAAGCATAATTGTACTCTGTACAACTTTTTAATAATATCACAATCTGATCACAATAGTATTGAAAAACAAATCATTAAAATTCTATCTTATCATTTACATGATCATTTACTACAATTAAGCAGTTTTGAGCACACATTTAATTTGTAAATGCAAGCATTCACAACATCCAGATCTTTAGTATTTTTTTCCCGACAGCATTTGATCCCATGTCTTCTTATATTCTCATTCTAGAAGCTTTATAAAGTATGGATAATTTTTTTTCATTTTGGGATGGGAAGTCGACGGAACTCGTGAGTCAGCCAGATGGCGATACTGAGTAAAATGAGTGACCCTGACTGATGAGTAGCGGCCAGGGGGGTGGGGACGTATGTCAGAAGGGTAGTGATACCTAGGGATGCCTGTAACATAATAAAATATAGATTAAACATATATACATGTAATCCATTATAAATAAATGAACTGCAGATTGCCAGCTTCTATCCTCTATTCATCTTAATTAACAATATTGACTACTGATAGTACACATTTTGAAACTTGACTCCTTTATCTTTTAAATATACAAGCAAATAAATATGAGACTTTAAACAAGATTTTTCTATTCTTATTCCATATATACATACTGTATATTATTGATAATATGCATTGGCTTTAAAATGATAGTTTGCATAAGAGGTAAACTGAGATGAACTCAAATTTGATACTGTCAGATTCTTTTTAAGCCATACACATGTACCGGTATGTAAACTGATAAAAAAGATCTAATTTTAATAAGAAAACAATTTGAAAGCTTCTTGAAGACTGTCAGAAGAGAGTATATCGCCTGTAAATGAATAATTCACCTGTATAATACCCATTCCTAGGAGGGCATTCACAGCCATTCTCATTCTAGGGGGCAATGGAGCATTCCTACACATGTACCAGAAAATACCAATCAACACCACAGTACTCTCAGCCTAAAAAATGATACAGAAACTACATTTCACTCTTCTTTGGTATTAAAGATATATGCATTTTTATGCGTTGCAGTGAATATGGTTGGGGCATATAGTGTTTTTCTGTCCATCTTTCATTTTTCTGTCCTTTTATCATTCTGTCTTAAAGAAGTTCATTAATCAAGGTAAAAACAAATTGAAAGGTTGATAAATTCTAAAATATATTTAATTATGGCTGACAACTTATTTTTTATTTTTATCACAAATATTTGAAAAATATATTGAATATGCTCAGGAAATTAATCATACAAATGTGTATTTATTTGTGTGGACATTGTGTCACAAACTGGAAATCTTACCAGATGCCTATGGTCAAATTGCACTGTTGTGGGATTTTCAAAGAAATTTTTCCAGGTAGGAGATATTGCGAGGAGGTCACTGGGAATCCATCTGTCGGCCATTTTTGGCCAGGAATTGTAGGTAAGTCCAGCATCCAGGCCAGCAACAAAGGCCCCTACAATGTGAAAATCATTGTTATTACATGTAAACATAAAAGCTTATTTTTCCTTAAGTCGAGTACATTATCCCTTTGAGGAAGAATATGAAAAATAACAGAAAATTTGAGCATTTTTTCCATGGAAAACTTAATGTTGCTAATTATTGGTTTCATAGTAATTTTAAAAGATCATATAAAATGCAAACAACAAAGGCACCTGATATGGCAGTGACAAATATAAGTCCCTTTATGCTATGGGCCATGATTCTTAGTCTTTTCATCTGTGGTGTATTTGGTAACTAAAATAATTCAATAAATTTCTTCATTTAAAAATCTTACATAAGAGATACTTAATAGTCTCAATGTCCTTATCATTAATTTTTTTTTTTACCAAATAAAGCATTATGAACCAATTTCTTATAATTTCTTACATGTAGAGTCCAGATGTTTTGCTTTTATATTGTTGAATACTGTACAATCAAATCAAAACTTTTTACTTAATATTAATATCAAATACTATATCTTTTTGATTTTTAAATATCATCTGTGATGCACAAATTTTTAAATCAGTACATTTCAGGGAATTTTACAGTTGATTTACGTAATTCTACTTCAATACTCACATTGTTAATGGGTAGAAACTGAGTCAATCCCTGCCACATAAACAGAGCATAAAGGATAAAGGCTGATCCTAAGTGTGAGGCCAGTCTATATTGACTGACCCTGGGGATATCGGACGGCTGTGCCTGTTCTTGTAGTCCACTCTTAACCATATACCAGCCAAGAAAGCCCTGGAAGAAGAGCGGGATTAGCACGTATTCTTATGTTCTTGGACTCTGGAATACTAGTAACTGATCATGTTTGATATTAAAGCATACATCCTCCTCCCCTGATATATATATATATGTGATTCCGACCCTTTGACTTTCTAAGATTTTAAAAAATCATCATGAATTAACTTACTATCGTTAATCTCATTTTAATTTCTTAATATTTTAGGAATATTTATTTGTAAAAAAAAAAATCTTCATAAATTTTCAAATGCAATGTCAAGAAAAAATATTTGGTAAGTTTTATATTGTTAACTTGTGCATTTATGAGCATCAGTTCTGGCCCTTACCTGGAAGCCTAATAAAGCTGTATTTAACACTAGGCGGCGCTTGAGACTGGTGGAGACCCAACCCTTACTAAGAAAGTAAGCAGCTGGTACTAAGAATACCATGCCCACCATTCGTCCCCACATCCTATGAGCATACTCCATATAATAAATAAATTTAAAATCGGATAGGGTGAAATCTCTCTCCTTAATGATGCTGAAAACATAAATAGATTTTCATTAATACATGTCTTGGTAACTTTTAACAGACATTATGAATTTCTTTACATGCATTACTACTGGTATCATGTTTTTCCTAAAACAAATAATAAGACTTTGTGTCCATATTAAATAAGTGTGTGATTTCTACAAAATTACATTCAGATACACTTCCACAACAGAATAAGAATAATAAATATTGTGTATGAAATATGACATTTTATGAATTTCTTTTTTATTTTTACAGGGATGAAAGAAGGGTTCTGATAGTTTGTTTAATTTTCCTAATTTACTACATGTACTTACTACTGATATTCAGGGTATTGTTTGTATCTCTCAAACTCTTCCTCCCATTCTTGCTGACTTCTTGGAGGCTTCATATCTTTAATTAACTGCCAATCCACCATGGACAATCCAGACTCTGTCAATCTACATATGCATTCACTCCATTTAGATTTTTTAATATTTTAATTTTACTTATGCAAATGCATTCTTCCTCAATACTTTAACAAGATTTCACCACTTTTCATTGACAATATTTATTAACATGATTTCTTGGGAATATCTTATCTTATTTCTGAACATGTATATTATGTTCACTTATTGTATATGCCTTCTTATACAATATTATAGGGTTATTGAACTTATATTGGTGAATATTGGCACGAGTTGGCTGTTCAAATTCACGAGCTTGCGAGCCAATATTCACCAAGTTCAATAACTCCTTTATTGTATAGCTAAAACATTTCCACACAATTTATAATAATTATTCCAACTAAAAAAAGTCAAATTAATGATTTTTTTTAGTATCAGTATTCAAATTAACGTATGTCTCGTAAGTGTTCAATATCACATCATTCCGATGACCCTACCGAGCTATATGATTTGCTTATTCAGGTTTTAATGGGTCTAATACGTACTAAATTTTTAATAAATAATTTCATTTTGTGTGAAAAATAAACACATCTTACCTAGATGCCACTTCATTTTGTTAATTTAGCTCTGAGAATTTGACCAGACGACTTTTTTTGTTTACAACGGGGCGTTCGATATTGAACGCTCATGTTCGGAATGTTTCGGGCATACTCATATACGTAATACAAACTCAGCGTTCAATAAAACGTCAAGATATTGAACACTAAAATTCTCTAGATTTTTGGTAGCATTTTATTAGAGACTATTTTTAGCTATATAATAATGTACATTATCGTCACATTTTTATGTTCGGAATGTTACAGCATATACCACTTTTAAAATGCATTTCTGATTTTATTTCATTTATAAGAGCATACTTCTTTTTGTTTTCCAACTGTAACACAGCACAAATCTTATATCACTTAGTGCTAGGGTGCTTAATAGGATAAATATGGTATACACAATACCTCTAATACCTCACTTCTTCAGTATATTATGTAGCTTTAAATTTGATTTATATCAATAGTGCTATTGTGTACTGTATACAGGGAAATTTTCGGCCCGTCTTATTTTCGCCCCTTTTGCCCTAGCCTCAGTTGGGCAAATTTAAAAGGGGCTCAATCAAAGAATACACTAAAATTTCTTAAACAAAACTATGACTGGGTGAATTTAAAGCAGGGCAAAATTGTATGCAAGGGTGAAAGAGCGAAAATAAAGCAGGGCAAAAATAACCCTGTATACAGTATTTTCAATATTTTTCTAAGGACTTTTATTTCATAGATTAAAATTTGTTCACCTTGTGACTCCACCCAGTATCACAGCACCAAAACACATTCCAGCACATCCAAACAACCAGGCACCAATAATTTTTTGCTGGCGACTAAATGGTACTATTGCAACATCTGTTGTAGTCCCTCTGATGGGTTGAAATGCTTTTAAAGATAATCCCTAAAATTGTGAAAATAATTTACAATCAATCCAGTCAAAATCAGAAACTTTGTTTCACTCATGTAGGCTACGATTCTTGAGTATCATTCAATCTAGGTGATCAGATCCAATCAAACTAAATATATACCCAGTAAGTACGTCATGAGTATCAAAAAGTGGTTATATTTGCAAGGTATAAAAAATTGATATAAGAAAACTGATAAGAAAAAATAATACCTCATAAACAGTCACATAACATAATTATTATTTATTTAATTTGACAAAATCCACATGTGGCACAAATCATACATATAGTGAACAAATAAATAATCACATAGATTTTATTTAGGGATGTCAACGAATAGTCGACTATTCGACTGTCAGTCGAATGGACCGACGATCGAATAATGAAACGACATTCGAATATTTAATAAATGCAAAAAAAAGAAGGGGGGGTTAAAGAATTCTTGAGCAACTCAAAATTGTAAAGAGTCATTCCTAAAACTATTATAGTATCCGTTCTCTGACGAATAAGAGCTTAAACACAGTCACATTATATAAATAAGTTTCTACATTGTAAACGTGGAAAGTACAGTAATTACATACTGCGATAATTATTTCTCAATTACTGACCTTTATTGCTATCGTAGTAAATTATGCAGTGCTTTACTGGACTTTGAAAATTATTAATTGGACTTGTACTAATTATAAATTTATTTATTACCTATAAGAATGTTCAAATTATGCTATAGGAACACAGCATAGTCGTGAAGTTTTGAAACTTCGATAATTATTAAAACAATAATCTCCTCCCCTTTTCCAATTTATTTCAAATAGTGAGTAAGCTTTAAAAACAATGTGCTAACAATTTTCTAAGTGTACTAGAACAAAAGAATGTACAGACCAATGTATGAATGTGATTCAAGTTACGAAATTTCATACAATTTGGAGAATCAATTGCTGGTGTAAATCTATTTCATTTCTACATCTTATCCCAACTTATTAAGGTTCATCTAAATATCGGTGTGTAACACAAAGTATAGGCATTTAATGTTACTTTTTACATAAATTTACGAAAAAGATTTTTTATTTTTAAAGAAGCTATCGATGCGATTTTTAAAAAAAAAATGTTCCGAATAGTCGACTATCGTTCGAATAATGCAATCGAATGTTCGACTAAGGAAAATAAATATTTTGACATCCCTAATTTTATTATATTAAAGTTAATGAAGTTTCAAATATTATATAAGTGATAATCAAATGCAAAACTTTTACTGTGATGTAATAAATTTTCTAATAGATTTTCTTTTACCTTATTCTTCTTCAGAAATTTGGAAATCTGTTTGTTCCAGGTTGAGAATCGACATCTTGGGGAAGCCAGATTCTGCAAATAAAAATAATATAAATGTCATAATTTAGAAAGATTTCCACAGTATATCTCACATTGATGTATTCTGACAGATTCCTACACAAAATGGAAAGTGACACTGTTTGTGTGACAAGCATCAACTCAAGGTTTAAAGTGAGCACAGCGAGCGTCGCGAAGCAACGCTCGTAACTGCGAGTTCTAACGACAACGCCTGGGCGATGAGAAAATTCGGACTACTGCACATTTATTCCATAGAATTTTTTCCACAATAATCTTGACCCACAATGCATCGCTTCATACACAAACGCTAAAGCCAAGTTCTCGTGAGAATAACGAAAAAAGTTAAAAGAAAAAAAAACTTGCCTTGATTTAATCAATTTATCTGTTTATTGCAGAAAAATAACCATAAACTGATTGAAATCAGCCCAGTTCAGGCTTCGGTTTGGTAAAGCAACATGCAAACGACGTCATGTGACGTCAGAGTCTTATCATACATGTTAACCTATTGTGATGAAAAATAGGGAGATTCAGACCTCAAGAGCGGTAGCATTGCGCGCGCGTTGTTTTACGCTTGGATTATCGATACATTTCATGTAATATACATGTATATAGCCTAAATGAAACCTACAATAATTAATCTTAAATATCAACTGCAAAGAAGAAGACAGAAACACCTTAAGTTTGATATAAATTGTACAAATTCAAATATTTTCATGCTCATCATTTTGCTTGGATTGGCTGTTTAACTAGAGTGATCTTTGCTGATATAGCCTAGAATCAATAATTCTGAATGTTCACTCAGTTGTAAACAAAACAAATGATGACATGGTTTAAACTAGATCTAAAACAAGTTCCTAACTTTCGTCATATAAATCAGATTTCCCGCGATGATCGAAAACGAAAGTAGAGATATGCCACATGGCTTGCCAAGGTCAATCGAGTGATTTCTATTGACTTTATTGATAAAATTGGGAGCTCCTGTCTTTTATAGACGATGTCAAACGTTTTCAACTAATTCTTAAAAGCTATATCTCCTTTTTCATGACAGTGATGTTGACTTGATTTATCGTAACCAATGAAATCACTGGTAAACTTGTGCTATGGTCGTTGTCAAATTCGTGCTTGAAATCTATGTACACATCGGTACAATAAAAGCGTTTGTATGCCTCCGAGTCAAATCACGCGATATCTAATGAGATTTTATGAGAGTGGCTTCAAAAATGGATACCCAAGCGAACCAAAAATACTTTAGACGAAACTTTTGTAGAAAAGCGGTAGATTTCTGAATTAAATCGGTAGGCGGGAGTTGGAGTGAAAAAGCGGTAGACTCCCGCCTAAATCGGTAGAGTTAACATGTATGGTCTTATACGCACCGAATGTCACGTGCGGTTTGACGAGTCCTAAATGAAAACTGGATAAGTATCTGCGCTCGCCCTAACGGTTGCACCAACAACATATTAGTGAGTGCAGCAAGCATTGCGAAGTGACGCATGTCATTGCAAGCTCTTAAAGCAATGCCTGGGTGAAGAGAAAATTCGGACTACTGAACATTCATTCAATAGATAGTTTTCGATAGGCCTGAATTTAGCGAAAGTTACCTCCCGTTGGTCGCCATATTGGAGGTCGACTCGGTGATTTTCCCTCTATGTCTTACCAAGTTTAAGAGGTTGTAGCAGAAATATTTGGTGGAAAATCTTTAATAAATATTTGTTTTCAAATATAGGAGGCTTCCAAAATTTTATATAATTCAGAAAAGTAATGATTTCTAATTCAAAATAGCAAATATAATATTTTTAAATTGGTTGAACAATGAAGGAATATTAGCGTTTGGACCTCCAGTATGGCGGCCAACGGGAAATAACTCTCGCTAAATTCTGGCCAATCAAAAACTATCTTTAAAAAAAAATTCCGCAGTAATTTGGACCCACAATGCATCGCTTCGTACACAAAAGCTAATGCAATGTTCTCCAAGAATAAGTTAAACGAATGATAAACTTGCCTTGATTTAATGAATTTTTTGCCAAAATATAGTGTGAATTAAACGGTCATTAAAATAAAACCTGTTCAGGCTTCGGTTTGGTAAAGCAACATGCATACGACGTCATGTGACGTCAGAGTCGTAGACGCACCGAATGTAACGTGCGGTTTGACAAACCCGATCTAAATGAAAACTGGAAATGTTCTGCGCACGCCCTAACGGTCGCACCGTCCACATATTAGTATCTACATGTAGCATGCTTCAAATATATCGTTTTTTAAAAGTTCATCTAATAAATCGTTATTGCATTAAGTACAGCATAAGCTATCCATTTTTTAAGGAAAAACTTCAAAAAAGATTTCTTCATTAACAGTTTGTTAAATTGCGTCATTAGATTGCAAACTCACTTTTATCCGGCTGTTGCTCAGAAATGATTTGGAATAATTTAACAGACATAGTTTCCGAACGGAAAATAAAGAAGTCATGTTTCAAATCGGTATGTATATAACAAATGACCCTTTTGAGGCTTTTCATAACATGTTGCGTAAAATAAAACTTCCTCGGTGTTACACCAATTCATACATGTTGGTAAAAAATACTCCCTATCTAAAGCGCTTTTGAGAGCCAACTTTAAAAATATAAAAGCTAAAGTAAGGAGAGTAATCAATCTTTCTCCGGTTTTAGAAAGAGAGAGAGAGAGACAGAAAGAGAGAGAGTATTTTGACTGCCTATTTGTGCATACCATAGCAGTAGAGCTGAATTAATATTAACAGTAGCGGGTGTAGAAGTTTATGTGTGTGTGTGTGTGTGGGGGGGGGGGGGGGGCGAAGGGGGAGGGTATGGGTCCTCTATGGGATGGGGTAGGTGGGGGTTTTGGGGGCCTCTCACGAGAAATTTCTGTTTAAAATGGCTCCAAATGGCACATTTTCCAGCATTTTAGATTGAATTAGTTTTTCTTTCCTGTTTTTAAAAAGTTGTTTTTCAAGACCGACTAACAAAAATTTTCAAAAAGAATTTTTGAAAATCTAAAATTTGGATTTTTATAAATTTAAATATGAAAATTACCCCCCCCCCCCCCAAAAAAAAAGTGTTAAAGCTTACAATTTTAGGAATATCAGCATTTGATAAATCATATTTATCAGATGGTTCACTGTCTCACATGTCAAGCTCTGACTACCAAATAAAATACAACTGATGTACTGGTACAATTTATCGACACTTAGAAAATGCTGCTTCTACCTATAAATGCTGAATCCTCTGTTCAGGGAAATAGGTTTCTGTAGATCAGTGCACCATCAATTTTTCTATCCTCTGGGGATGGGAAGGGGTGAATTCAAGTCTTATTTTGCATATCTAGGCCTTTAATTAAATACATTCCCGCGTATATTCCAAAATAAGAATAGGAAAGCCTGGCTACTACCAAAAATGTCATCAGAATTCAGAGAAGCAGGGTTTTTTTTTTTAGAGATAAATATTTTTTGACCCCCAATTAGCCCCATGGTGAAAATTGAAACTCCAAAACTTTGTTGTACATTATTGACTGACTTGACGTATTCCTGTTTATTCCACCAAGCCTCACGTACCAAATGAATTGGGCTACATTCTTCAAAAGGACCCATGTACGCGTAAATCCCGCTTCTCTTGCCTCAGTTTCTATATGATCCTTCCAGGTTTGCCCTTTCCCCTGTGGGCTTCATTCAAGGGCATCCATCCATATTTTTCTTTTTGATATGTAGATTTTAGATGGAATTTTGGTCGATTTTTGTTTGATATAGTTTCAGACCATCAGATGTTTAAGGATATTACGGGTATATGAATAGGTACTGCAAAAAAAAAAAATGTATATAAAAAGTTTTTAAATTAAAAACTTGCTACTTGGATGTACATATCATGTCTGGTTTCTTCTCGAGCATGGATATCGATTCTGAAGCGACTGTAGTTTATATTTCGTTTTTCCACTAGTATAACTTAAAGCAGAAAATTGAATAAAATAAATGTCACGGTTATAAATCTACAGCATCTTTTCTATCTAGTATAGTAACTTAGGTGATTAAAATAATTTTATTTTGGTGCATATTTTGGGGAAACAAAATTGAAACGGCCGAAAACCTTTTTCTGACTCAAAGAACTTCACTGAATTATCTTTTTTGATCTATTAAATAGTATACATATATTGAATGTGTTACCATACTATGTTAGAAATCTTGAAATCACTCATATATGCTTTTGCCGTTGAATCACGTAAACGATTAGAGACTCCATGGAAAGTCACGTTGGGTCAGTGGGTGTTAAAACAGGAAATTTAATAAGTTTTAATATGTATTTTTTAAAACAGACAGTAAACTCTGCCTGGAGATATTAATTGACAATATCTTTAAAATAAGAACCCTTGAAGAATCAAACATTAGTACCGATTTCTTTACATGCATAAAAATTTTATTAAATTAATTTATTAAATTATTTTATTAAATTAATTTCATTAGTTTACAAAAGACATTTTTTTCTGATTTTCTGGTATAGTGTTTTTGGTGATTAAGTTGTAAATTAAGATATAACATAGCAAATAAAATTAAAACTACGTATTTTTTTATAATTCATTGACATGCGATAAGCGGAAGAAATGTCCCACCCGCCACATGTCCAGAAGGACAGTCACATTCAATGCGCATGTATGTAAACATTTTCTTGCGTTATATTATGCAACGCAGCATGTTCATGTAAATCATATGCGAGTTCCGCATCTAACAGCAAAGCTATAAGGTTTAGGAAAAACCAAATTTATCGATAAGACTGGTTAAAGTATGGCAGAGGGGTATGATAAAGCGGGGAGCCCAGTAGAAGAGGGGGCTGATATAACAGGAAACAAGGGCCCCCTCTCTGTGGTCATCGTAGGAGGGGGGATCGCGGGGATAAGTGCGGCGCGTCATCTCATAAAAAATGGAATTCGACAGGTGAAGATTTTGGAAGCAATGAATCGTTTGGGAGGTCGAATACATACTGTAAACGGAGGTAGGTTAATACTTTCTTTAGTTTTCCTCAAATTTGACAAACAATTACATACAAGTACACGAAAACTTCTGAACGAAATGGGCGATCAAAAGGCCTCGATCATAAACATTTAATCAAAGTTGTCAAAATAATACATCAAATACTAACTTATTACTAAATGTATTTGTCTTATAACAATGCTACATGAATTTCTCGGTTATTGATTGTCATTACACCCCTCCTTTCCCATCACCCTCAAAAATGAGAAAGAAAAAAAAATTAATAAAATGCATTTTCATAGATGCAGGTAAAATAGACTTCGGAGCGCAGTACATTCACGGAGGAGAGGACAACTCCTTGTACCAGATAGCTGTCAAACACGATCTTATAGACCGCTCGTCAACACCGACCAAAGGTTCAGTAGCATCAACATTTTACGGAAACGAATTTTACAAAGAAAACGGATCCAGAATTCCAAAGAAAATCGTTAAGGAAGTCAACGAGTTTCTGGAAAGTGTACACAAAGAATGTAATGGTATTGATAATAATACAAACTACCATGAGAGCATGGGCAATTGTTTTGAAAGGAGATTTGAGGAATATTTGGGGTCACGTGACAACACATTGGAGGATGTTGACACGAGGAAAGGGTTGTTCGATTGGCGAATGCGATGGGAGATGCATGATAATGGCTGTCGTTCTTTATTTGATGTAGCTTCGCCAGCAAGGTATCAAAATTATACCGGAAACTATTTTACAGAAATAAAAAATGGGTTTCAGTCAGTGTTTTCAATGCTTTTAAAAGATGTTCCTTGTGCGTGTGTCCGAACAGAAACACCGGTGACGAGAATAAATTGGGAAAATATTCGCATTTGTAATGATGAAAATCGAGAAGATTCAAAGATATGTATGGTTGAAACTAAACACGGTGAATATTTTTATTGTGATTATGTGATTGTCACTGTACCGCTAGGTTATCTGCAATTAAACATAGATACACTATTTCAGCCACCGCTACCCTCAGGGAAAAAAGCGGCGATCTTGCGAAGTGGGTTTGGAAACTTGGTGAAAGTATTTCTTACGTGGACGAAACCGTTTTGGGAAAAATCTTTTGAAGGAATTCAGTTCATTTGGACCTCAGATGAAGACATATTCGACACACAACCTGCGTCAACCTTAACAAAAAAGGTATAAAGACCGTAAACCGCTTGTGCTTAATATGCATGATTCAAAAGACAAAATTACAATTGATATAAAAAAATTCCTTATGAATGGTCTAAGGAAAGATTAAATTATATAAATGGTGTAGTAGAATGGATATCGCTTCAGTTATAAGTGCTTTACAAAAGCACAAATGATCGAGTTCGTAACTCTCTTTCCACTCGAGTTCTTAACTCTCTCTCATTGTTTTTACATATGAACCTTTTTTTCTTTTTCTTCAGAATGGCGATCCGTGGTACCGGGACTTTGACGGTTTTCACGTTCTGGAGGACAACTCCTGTACGCTGCTGGGGTGGATCGGTGGGGAGGGAGGATGTCTTTCAGAACGACTGACCGAGGGGGAAATTCTGGAAACCTGTTACCTACTGCTCAAAAAGTTTGCTGCCGACATGGATATTCCAAAGCCTTGCAAGATACAAAGGTGGGTACTTGATAGCTTTGGGAAGAACTTATACACTAAGCTACTTAGTGAACAAAAATATGGAGCAAGGACCCTGAAATACAAAAGGACCTTAGAATACACTTTTATGACACAACAATGTTTCTTTCCGAGAAATATTTGAAGTCCAGTTACAATTATTTTCGTCATATCAAAAAAGATGTAAATCCCTCACCCTTTATAGGAGTTTTGTGGTGTAGTGGTTAAATGTTTCTGAGTAAAAATTCAAAATAAGATTCTTTATGTTTGAGTTTGAACCCCAAGAAAATTATCTTTAGTATAGAATATTTGCCAAGAAAACTGTTCCACAGAAAAGCTGTCATAATTTTATGCCTTGCAAAAATAAGACATGCCCGTAGGAAGCAATTTCAGTTTGGGGGATGTCACTATCAAATAATTCAAGTATTCGCTGAAAAGGCAAACAAAAGGTCATCAAAAATTACTGAGGGTCACAAGCATTATAGTAGCTATGTTTTCTATACTATTCTACATCAGAAAATCCGGGGATGGGGGTGGGATGGGGTAATTCCCCCCGTTCCTACACCCATGTAAGAACGTTACTATCAATACTAAGATCACAAACTGAATCTGATTTTAATGTACTTTAAGACAGAGGCATTTCCAATACCTTATACGCCCTTGCTCTTTGAGAGGCATGTAAATGCTTGTTTGACGCGTTTCTCGATCTGGCATTATAGTTTATCATTCAAAGGTAGTGTATATCCATGGTAAAAATATTTCTTTTCATCCCTATTATCGATGTTTTTCTTGCATTTTTCATCATAAATTGTGATGAAACCCTTTATAGGTTCTCATTCTACTGCTTTTTAATTCGTTGTACCATCTTCTGGAGCTTGACTTGTTTTGATATCTGTAGAACCCAGTGGCAGAGCCAAGAGTACATCCGAGGATGCTATAGTTATGTGTCCATCTACAACGAACCTAACGACTTCCAGGAACTCATCAAACCACTGCCTTCCAAACAGGTAAGAATTTCTCCATCTTACTGAAGTGATATGTTAATTCTCTAACTTCTAGAGACAATCACTCCATGATTTTGTTCAATAATAACCTGTTTTGATTTTCCTAGAACCCTGTGGTGCTGTTTGCTGGTGAGGCCATGAGTTACTATCATTACTCTACAACCCATGGAGCTTACGAGTCTGGGATAGATGCAGCGAACCTTGTATTACAGAATGTGACACAAATTAATAGGATATAAAGTGAATGGTCATTTCAAATAATTCACTTTGATATTTAATTAAAAACCCATTTTATTAAGACACAATGGATAGTAAATATGTACATCATGGGTCTGAAGAAATTTCATCCTTGCAATTTTGTTATCTGTAAGTTTAAGAAATAAACAGAATACCATTTTCATCCATCCATTCAACTGAAAAAAAAAATAGTGCAACATCCTCAGCTAGTATGGTAGTATGCAAAGGTGACATTTAATCGAACTTATTTGCATATCAGTTATAAAGCAGCAATTCTACAAGAGAGCTGAGGCTTAGGGCCCTACTGGTCACTTAACTATCATTCACCTACCCCGTCTCAAAATATTCTCCATAGACACACCTTTCTTTTGTTTTTCTGTTACAAATACATGCATACGACCTGTAATACCAAGGGGGGATGCTTTACTCAAAATTCAGAATTTCTATTTCATTTTTTCATTAATTTCACAGGTGATATCATGACTCTAATAGTCATCTTCAATCTATGTTGAGGCCTCTTCTTTGCCAATAAGAAATATCAACACTGAACTGCACATACAATAGAATTTTAATTTGATAAAAAAATTAATAAATGGAAATTGCAAGAAAAGAAGTGGTTTTCTATGAACATTTTTGACAGAATTTTAAATCTGCATCATTTTAACAGCACATAATAATTTATCATAATTAAAACTATTTTTAAAAACATATATGTATTTACAGAATGAAAATATGCTAAAAATTTATGATCATACAGAACTCGTGACAAATTTGACACAACATTTTACACAGCTGCTATCTATATGATAAGATATGAAAATGAATAATGTCTATATCTACAATACATATAGATGTTCATGAACCTTTGACCCTGTGAAATATGACACAGGTAAATAAATGCATTGAATTTTACACATGGCCCAAATAATTTGTCTCTTTTCCACATTACGATGCTTGGCTTTGTGCAAAATGCACTAAATGTAGGACTGAGAAATGAGCACATTGCACTCCAGGTCAGCTGCCGGTCAGTCTGTCTGTCTGTTTGACAATATCAGCCGTGAGTCGTATCATCCTCCACAAAATCCTCCGCTTCTTCCTTACTCACACATTCAATGTGAGACACCTACAAACAAACAAGTTGAAACAACTTTTATGGAAAACATACACTTTAGTAAATTAAAAATAAGAACAACAATCATACTTTAATGTATACATGATAGTTTTGTGAAATGATCATGATTAAAGTATAGAGCCCTACCTTATTCCTGAACTTGACGCCATAAAACTTGTCCGCATGTTCTAGTAACTCTGGTCTAAATGTTGTAGTAATGAACTGAGCATTGCCAGCCAACTCATGGATCATATCTACCAAAATAATTACAAATGACACTACAGTTCAATATTTCCTGGAAAAATATTCCATTGTTATACTGCAGCAGTAAATAATATCATTGTGAGGTATTGAAGAATGCTACATGTATGTCGTTACCTGCCACTGCTTTCCTGTGACTTGAATCTAAAGCCTGATCAATTTCATCAAAAAGATAAAATGGGGCTGGATCACATTTCTGGATTGCGAAGATCAATGTCAAGGCCACCAAAGATTTCTGTCCTCCAGAGAGCTGCTGCATGTCTCTCATCTCAGCCTTGTTCCCAGTGAAAGAAACCTGAACAAAACAAAATTGTAAGGTTTAACTGAAAACCCCAAAAGCAAACCATGCCAGATGCCTCTGAAGTGACTGCACCTCTTTTAGATCAGTAATGTTTTGAAAGAGATATTAAACACCTTTTATTTGTATTTTGATATGGATCTTATCACAAGACTTGATCCCATAGATCAAAATATAAATTTTAAAATTTGCACAATAGCACTCTGTTGTTTAAATTCTGTGAAAGTCATGTAATTTGAGTACAAGAGGAGTTGTAAATAAACAAGAGGCCCATGGGCCACATCGCTCACCTGAGAAGCTTTGACCATTCTGTTCTTTACCAGATTTCCTCCTTGTAATACAATGCATCCCCACCCTACCCCACTGATCATAATTTAAACATTTAGAAATCTACGCTACCCAAGGATCTTTCCATGTGCACATAAGTTTCAGCTTTTCTGGCCCAGTGGTTCTTGAGAAGAAGATTTTCAAAGATTTTTCCTATATATTTCTATGTAAAACTTTGATTCCCCATTGTGGCCCCGCCCTTCCCCCGGGGGTCATGATTTGAACAATTTAGAATCTACACTACCCCAGGATGCTTCCACATAAGTTTCAGCTTTTCTGGCCCAGTGGTTCTTGAGAAGAAGATTTTCAAAGATTTTTCTTATATACCGTATAATCCCTATTAACCGCCCCGGGCGCTTAGAAAATTGTGAAAAGGGGGCGGTTATTTGGTATTCAAGTTATATTTTTCGATGTCATATTTCAGCTTAAAAAAATATTTTGAATAAAGAATAAAATTCTGAGAACCACGAAATAATTGTCTTACTTTCCTTTATGTTAAGATAAGCCACTCAAATTATGCAAATTGATTTATTTTCCACCAAAAAAATAGACAATACACGAGGAGAACGTCTCTTGGTAAGTAACTTTCACTTTCAGAAAATTGTAAACAATGATTAGTTCGTTCGCAGAATCTTTCACTTTCAGTTCGATTAACTTTTTCAAAGATTATTTCGTTTATTGTCCTGGTGACCCAGGGTCACTATCAACTTCCTCGTCAAGATCGGAAGCTTCCCCATCGGTTTCATCGCTCCATTCGTTGACAGCATCCAATTCCATTTGAATGTTTTCCTGAAGTTGGTTAATTCCCTCAATATCGCCTTCTGTGGGGGTGTCAAATCCCTCAAATGGATCATCACTTTCATCCCCCGACTGGAATAATAACTCATCTTCTGTGCCATCGAGGTTATTGGAAATTCCTGTTTTCAAAAACGATTTCCGTATAATATCTGGGGAAACCGAGGCCCATGCTTCTTTTATCCATTTCAGAATTTTTGTTTTCTCCGGTGGTCGGCGATTTCCTTGTTTTGTTAACGAGACATTTCCATCAAACAACCATTCGTCGTAAAGTTCTCTATAACGATCTTTGAATGGCTTACCGTATATACTCGCCTATAAGTCGGTCCGCCTATAAGTCGGTTGTATTTTTTGAGGTTATTTGGCAGGGATTTGCCATTGACCCGCTTATAAGTCGGTACAACTTTTTGCCAGAATCAGATGACAATTTCTTATAAATTTTCTGATGTTTTAGCCGAATTTCAATAAATATTTATAGAAATGAAGTCGATATTTAGCTTTAAGTCATAAAACAAAAATAAATCTGCCCTCTTAAGATTAAAATAAAATAAAGTTATTAAATACATGTATATAAAATACATGTAAATCATGTATAATCTTATAATGCATACATGATATAATGTATCCATACTTTGTTCAATGATAGCTGTTGAAAATGTATAAAGAATACGATTCGCCATCCAGAAAAATACCAGTCTTTTTATGACTCGCCTATAAGTCGGACATAGACTATTGGACTAAAATTTAACTCCCAAAATACAGACTTATAGGCGAATATATACGGTATTCCAACTGACATCGCAGGGCTGCAACTTCGATGTACATCCACCAGGAATTATTGCTACATCTGTATTATATTTTCTTGTCAAGAGTTCTTTAATAGCTTTAGTCTTATGTCCAGAAAACGAATCCCAAATTAGTAACCTCTGGGTAGAATTTTGTCTCCAAATGACATGTAGCCAGAATTTCATTGTACTTTCATCCGCCCAAGCTTTTGGAGTCATTTTCACAATGACTCCTGTGGGTACATCTTTTAAGGGATGCACGCCTTTCATCAAAACTAGCGGAAGCAGCTTGGTACCATCGGCTAAAGCGGAGAGACATACAGTTATTCTAGATTTTTCATGCCCTGTACTGGCCATCTTTATAGTCTTTTTCCCTGAAAATTCAATTGTTTGGTCCCCTGGCATATCCATCCACACTGGTGTTTCGTCCATATTTCCAATGCTGGACAAGGGATATTCTTTTCTTTTCCGCATCGCTATAACAAATCTTAAAAACCCGTCAACTTTATCACTGAGGTGACTTTCTGTTTTTTGAGCTGTATGTGTAGCTCTTCGGAAACATACACCATTCCTTTACATAAATCGTCGCATCCATTGGCAACTTGCTTTAAAACTTTGATTACCGTTTTGCAAATGTAGACGTCGAGCTTCGTTTTTAAGGGCTTTCCCCGTAACTCTGACACAAGCATCACGTTTACTAATTAACCACTCCATTAAATCATGCTCAATCTGTGGAAAGTTCAGTTTTCTTCCTCCCCCAAATCTCCTCTTTCTGCCTATGCCCATGTTTGCTGCCTTTTCCTTAATGCTGTCTTCAGTTTTTCTCCACTCACGTATTCTTTTTCTATCAACATTAAAATGTTTCGACGCCTTATGATTTCCATTGACCTTCGCAAAACTGATCACTTTGAGCTTAAACGCAAAGTTATAAGAAAATATTTTTTCCCCTTTATGTGATGTGGATCTTGAATTCTCCATCTTTATTTCCTATGTAGTTGTAACACGAGCCTTGATTGGTTACAAAGTCGGGAGCCTGAGCCCGATTACGCGACATCAGCTGTTGATTCTCATCAATTCATGTCATACTATTTGTATGATAGGAATACTTTACGTATGAATTACCTAAGATCCCTGTTTCATTTTCAATTTCTTCAATTTACCAATGGCGGACTTTCGATACAATTCTTGTATTAGAGGTTTTCATGTTTACAAAGATATTTGGAATCCAGTTACCGGAGAAACATTAAATACTCGAAGAGGAATACACAATCCCGTCGACAAATATGCAGTGGCTGTAGTTAAGGACGACACCATTGTCGGACACGTGCCGAAAAAAATCAGCAAAACTGTGGCTTTCTTTCTTAAGCATTGGGGAACATAACAGTGTGTAGTCGCAGGAAAACATCGAAGGAGGGATGATTTAGACATGGGTGGACTAGAAGTTCCGTGTGTTATGATTTTTACAGGACCAGCACCACTTATTGAACGACTAAAAACTTTATTATAGGTAAGCACAGGGGGGGCCCTTATTTCCGGAAAATTGAAAAAGGCCTAGGGGGGCGGTTATAGGGGTAGGGGCGGTTAATAGGGATTATACGGTATTTCTATGTAAAACTTTGATTCCCCATTGTGGCCCCGCCTTTCCCCCAGGGGTCATGATTTGAACAATTTAGAATCTACACTACCCCAGAATGCTTCCACATAAGTTTCAGCTTTTCTGGCCCAGTGGTTCTTGAGAAGAAGATTTTCAAAGATTTTTCCTATATATTTCTAAAACTTTGATTCCCCATTGTGGCCCCGCCCTTCCCACGGGGGTCATGATTTGAACAATTTAGAATGTACACTACCCCAGAATGCTTACACATAAGTTTCAGCTTTTCTGGCCCAGTGGTTCTTGAGAAGAAGATTTTCAAAGATCTTTCCTATATATTTCTATGTAAAACTTTGATTCCCCATTGTGGCCTCGCCCTTCCCCCGGGGGTCATGATTTGAACAATTTAAAATCTACACTATACCAGAATGCTTCCATATAAGTTTCAGCTTTTCTAGCCCAGTGGTTCTTGAGAAGATTTTTTAATGAACCCACCCTATTTTTGTCTTTTCTTGATTATCTCCCCTTGTGAGGGGACTTGGCCCTTTATTTTAAAAATTTAAATTCCTCTTCACCCAAGGATAATTTGTACTAAGTTTGGTCAAAATTGGCCCAGTGGTTCTTGAGAAGAAGTCAAAAATGTGAAAAGTTTACAGACGGACAGACAGACGGACAGACAGACGGACGGACGGACGACGGACAAAATGTGATCAGAAAAGTTCACTTGAGCCTTCGGCTCAGGTGAGCTAAAAATGAAAATGGCAGTGTCCATGATTTGCTAAATCAAGATGTAAAAAAGGTGCAAAATCAAAAATTGCACTATGTATCTGTGTATTCAGAGGTACAGTAGGGTTTTTGGATTTAAACAAAAAAAAAATTTAATTCATATTCTGCCAGTAACGCTACTTGTACGTATTTGTTCACTACCAAAAAGTGACAATGTTTTTGTTCTTTGTTAGATCAACAGACCAGTTTGATTTTGTCCTATTTCTTACCTTAATCCCCACACCTGTGAACTGCTCCACCTGAGGAATGGAGTCTTGGGAATCTTCATCCTCGTTCTGGTCCGAGTCTCCTTTCTTCATCACAAGCTGAGCATGGCCTTGTGGAGCCAACTTCCTGAAAATCTCACTGAAGTACTTAGACACCTACATAGTAACAAAAACAAAGGAAACTTCAAAGCTAAATTTTCAAAAATTACAGCAAAACTCATTTAGTGCGAACACGGATATTGCAAAGTCATGGATATAGGGAAGTTATCTTGGATCCCCAGCTATATAAATTTAATGAATTCCTTATACAGATATAATGAATTACGGATATAGCGAGGTAATTTTATAGGTCCCAGTGACTTCGTCATAACTGAGTTTTACTGTATAAGAATCTATTCTCTTCCTTAAGTAGAATAAGGATGTAATGATATACCAATGAACCCAAAATCACAAAATAAATATAACACTTTGCTGTAAAAAGCTATAAATCTATCATGACATATAACATTTTAAGAAATTTGTGTTGTTTTTTTTTTTACCCTTTTACAAAAACAGAAAACAGATAATTCGACTTTCTCAATCTAAATTTTTATATTACTTTTTATATCTCTTACCTGTTTAAATGTAAGCTGTATGGCATCATACTTTCTTTGGTCTAGTGAATTCATCAAATCTAAGATAGACTAGAAGAAATAAAGAATATTAATGGATTACAATACAGTAGAGATCCGCTATTACGGTGACGGTTTTATACGATAGAACGCTTATTACGTTGTAAATTCAAAGCACAAATCCATTTCTTAACAAATCTATACAAAAAAGAACTGTTTATTACGTTGTCCAAAATCGCCAGGTCTCAGTAATACGATGTAAATATTCTGTCAAAAATTTTTTCACTCCTATTTATTCAGTGTTGATTGCTGGTAGACACTTAAGGATACGCTAAATAAACATTGGAACACCTGTGCTCTGAGAGAGTGTTAACTAACAGGGCAGTTAGGTGATTAGTGACGCTTGATTGCACTCACCTGGACTGTTCCAGCGAGCCCAGCAGATTTGGAGACGTGCCAAAGCCATTGTTAAACAATTAAAGTTTACTCATAAACCTAGCTTCTTCTTTATCTATCGCTGTAATTTTTTTTAAAAATTCTTTTATTCTTTATTTCATACTTAGTTTAATAAATTAATTTAATAAATCAAAGGTTATATTTAATATTATGCATGTATGCTGTACACAGGTACACATAATGTGTAATTTCGTTTGCAAATAAACTGCGTAAATAAACAGCTTGGGTATCAAACATAATTTGGACAAATTTTGAACTCCACTACAAACGTTTTAACAGCTTGGGTAGTGGCTTGGACTACCTCTCAGTTGTCAGCAGAAATACAAATCGATAATTGCTGAACTGCTAATTGACCTCTGTTCAGTAATTTAAAAAAAATTATTTTGACGGATTGCTTGTCTATTTACTTTGACCTTTTTATTTGAATAAAAAAATGTTGTTGTTTATTTAGAAATGACTTTTAATTGAATACAAAGAGAATAAAATAATCAGAATTTTGGTAGTTGTTTAGAAAGAAATGACTATGACTACGAAGACATTGAAATTTTCACGAACGCATTATCTGAACAGAAACGAAAGTGAAAGTACATGTTACAGAAAATGGCGGCAATTAAAGGAGATTTATCTTAGATCCCCAGCTATATAAATTTAATGAATTCGAAGTTTCTATTAAAAAATGTGCTCTATGCTTTTACTATGATGGAAAAAGAAGAAATAGCATCATGAAAATAAGTTTTAAAGATAAGTAATCAATGAATTAAGTGTATATGGCATATTGGAGAAGAATTTGAGCATGAAAAGGAGATAGAAGGAGAAAAATATACCCCCTAATACAAGAACACGTTTTCCAAACGATGTTTATAGGATTTTATCTCTTAACTTTTATTACGTTGCCCTCGGTATTACGATATTTTACCGTGACAAAGTGAACATCGTAATAACGGGTCTCTACTGTAACAATGTACATAACTGAACATAGATACCTCATGTACCACACTAAGTTCCAAGCCTCCCTAGTATGATTTAAGAAAACACTGTAAACTCTAACGTATTAGACTACAGAATGTTATTAAATAATTTAGTTTTAGAACGGACATGTCTTTAATAAACATCTTACCAAAATTTAATTTCATGTTGAATCTCTTTCTTAACCTCTCGCATAAATATGACATATACAAGGAAAAACAAGCATTCTGTTCCAGGCTATCACTTGTGATGATCACTTGATTTACCTGATGAGCACTATCTAACTCCTCCTTCCTCTTGATCAGCTTTTCTTTCTGGTCAGAAAAGTTGACAAACTGATCTAAAGCTTTCTTGTTCACATGACTGTATCTTTTTAGCTCTTGGTTGCAATTCTCAAGTTTCTTGAATAGCTGTAAAACATGGTAAGCTATCTTAGTACAAACATGTAATTACATTTTCTAAGATTTTAGATTTTCTTATTTAATGTTAAATTATTCATACTATAACAACAGAAGTGAAAAAAAATGGAACTAACCTGTTTAAGACTAAAGCTTTGATATTTTTCAAATGCATCACTTGGTAGTGATCCCAATTCTCTTATTTTCTTCATGCATTCATCTTTCTGTGAACATAAAACATTTGAATAAAACAGGTGTAGATTTTAAAATGAATTTAATCCATGTATTGTATTAGACCTATTAAACAATTAAATCATCTTAACATTCATTTATTTTTAAACCAAATACAATGGTTCTGATACAACTGGGATGAATAACATCAAAACACAGCATACTGAGAATTTTTCCATCATTTCAATTAATCATTAAATGATGTTTATACTAGTATTACACATATTTTCAAATATGCAGTT